TTATTCTGAAAAACATTGCTTGTTGATTCACATGACTGTTTTAAAAGACTTCAGGATGAATGAAAAATATTTTAAGCTTAATATTGTTATTGATCAGATTGTGTATAGAGATTTGTGTTTCTTAAAGGAAAGATTCAATGTTTAATGTATCATGGTTACCTGACATACATCTTTTCTTATTTCGTTAACTGATAGGTGGTTGGTTCACTTATGCTTTTGTTATTAGAAGAAAAAAACAACTTTTTATGTTCCAAATAATTAATTATATTGATGTTGGTTATTGAGATCTTTGTATTCCAACCCTTTCAATATACGTTAGAAATAATCTGATTGTAATAGAGAGTAATTATTAGTAAGTATTTTGTAAAACTTCCTTAAATAAACATTTGTAACAAGTGTTCTATTGAATCTTGCCAAAACTAGTAACCTTGAAACTTTTATGACATCCGACTGACGAGTTAGTATATATTTACTATGTTAAATTAGGAACCTACCATTAAAGATTATAATGAATTGTGAATATATACAATGTGTTTTTATTGTTTATTCATTTGTCAGTGTCTATGATTAGTTTTACGAATCAAGAATTCATCTATATGGTGATTTATCAGTCTCTTTCAAGACCCCTTATAACGCTGTAAAGACAAACAATGCGAGATAGCCTCAATAGATCAAGGATCAATGTTATAGGACAATGATTTGAGCACTATATTTGTATACATTATTAAACGAATGAGTGAATATATTATCTCTCATTGTATTCATAGACGGTCATTTTCACTTTGTTCTCACCAACCTGTAGCTTATTAAATACACTACAGAGGTATTTTTTTGAATATGACACATTGATTAATAGTCAGCTGTAATTAGGGGAATTGTTCATTTGGTCAAGGTCACCGCTCATATATTCCTACCTGAATCAGTTTAGTAGTATAGATATACATGACTTATGTGCATATTCATTTACTCGCTGACAATACAACTTTTTACAAACTCTTACCCTTCTACTTTGCCTAATTAGTTGACAATTGTGACTAAATTAGACTGCAGATTTTAACGCATTTGACAATACACTTCAAATTCTACACATATATTGACAGGTCTGCTACTAAAATGCTTAACACTGGCTTCCTATTACTCCGGAATACTACACTTCAACTCGAAAAATAGAGAAAAGGCATGATTTATTTATTTGAACACATGAATATTGGTACAAGAGAGCGCCAATATATATGCGCCACACAAAACAATGAAAATTCGAGAGGAATACAAAGAAAGAAAAAAAAGCTAAGGAGCGCAAAAGAAAAAGAGAACAATAACGAAGAGATTGGTGTAAGGTAGTGTGGTAGTAACGAGGGAACGGAAAGGTACAATCAAAAGAAATCTTTCAGGTAAGGGAGACACAACCACTTTTTATGAAGAAAGTAAAAGAAGGTTACATCAGGATCGCCACTGGCTTCTATTCTGAGCCTTATCTGATAACGTCTCTAGCCACTGTGTAGCACCATCTCTCGGACCCCAACCAGGGAGTCGTGAAGGACCAACAGAAGCCAGTCCTTTGCAGCTTTCTTTCATACCACGACACCATGTCATGCACTGACCCCCTCTCCGCTTCTTCCAACCAGTCCCAGAGTCGGCAAATAATGTACGACGTGGAATTCTCTGGGACGACATTCGGAGAACATGTCCAAGCCACCGAAGTCGGTGTTTCAAGATGGTGACAACAATTGAATCATCATCTCTGTGCCCGAACACACGATGCCGAACCTCTGCATTACTGACATGGTGTTGCCACTGAATGTCAGCAATCCTTCGGAGACAGCGATGATCGAACACGGAGAGTCGTCTAACGTCCTCAACTCGGAGAGACCAGGTTTCACAAGCATAGAGTAAAACTGCTCTCACCGACGCGTTGTAGATCCGACCTTTTACATGTATCCATGTAATCTAAGAAACGTGGTAATGAAAGTCTCTGTTCTCCCACCATTTTAACAGTGAAATGGTCCTGATTATTCATTCCAGTCAGTAATGGCATGATTTATTCTAAATGTTCACCTTGAACAAATGAGATCAAACAGACTAATCCTTTATGAAATCTATTTCCAATAGAGTTTACATCCTTAAGAACTATATATTTTGTGTAATTTCCATGTCATTCCCGCTGTATAATAATGGCGGAATAAGTTGTGTTTTTTCATTGACCTTGAAAAACACCGACATCGTTAGTTAGTAAACTTTTCAAAATAAACTGGAAGAAATCACCCCGATCGTGTTTTATTTATCTATATGATGAAGGTTGGAAACATTCGATAACATAATAAGCAAAGATGGATAGTGGCTAGCAGTGACGAGTCCGAAATAGGAAAAAACGCGCGTCCTGGATTCCGCTGCTATCTACTATCCATGTTTGCTTATAATGCTTGTAAATTAAGGCAATACACACAGTATGCAAATATTCTAATAAGAGACTGATTAATTGCAGTCCTAAACATCAGTGAGAAGATTCAAGTAAAACAATACCAAGTGAATTCAATAACATAGTTGAGAATCAGTCGCAATATCTCAAATGCATTCAATATTTTTGTCTTCCTTCAGATTCTAACATTATTATCTTTAACCTAATCTTTCACACTACCATCAGTATTGTTACTTCTAATACGGCTCCGACATTTCTCTTGATAATTTCATCTAACTATATTGATATGATATGACAACTTGAAATGATACATCTATATCTTATTTTCCTTTACTCTTTTTTATGATTCATATAGTAGGTTCGCTATAAATACTTCTGTTTATAATTTCTTACAGTAGAAATCAGTTATTTAAAGAATCAATTCTTATTATCATTCATTTTCTTAATTAATTATATTCTTTTTATATGTTTTTTTGAGGCCATTATTAAAACATATGATTTCATTCAATGTACCACATTGTTCTATAGTACTATTATTTATTGTAAAGTACATACTACTTAGAATCAATCTCTGTATTCATTTTTATTTAACTTTACAATAAAGAATTGTTCAGATTTATTGAATTTGTAAAAGGAATTTTACTGTATTAATGAGTTTAAATAAACTCTTAAGGTTAAAATTCACTTATATTGTGCTGTTTCATGTAAGATTTCATATACTATTTCCGTTGTTATTATTATTATCGTTATGATTAACTATAACACTACTTGTGTGGTGTGGATTACTTATATCCACATAAGTAGTATGTAACAGTTGTCAAACATAGAATGTATTTCAGTAGAAGATCGATAAGAAAAGAATGGAAACGAAACGCAGTTGGTTAGAAAATGCGTGGACTGATATTTGCAAAAGGAACAGTCAAGTTTAAGACAATGGATTGATATTTTACAAATTAACTATTTACTATATGGTTCTCAGATTTTAGTGAGATAGATGCTCTGTAATTTCATGTCAAATATATTCGATTGTCCTCACTGGTGTTTTTGTTCACTACACTTGTGCTAATCATTAATTAGCAGTATTATATTATGACAAAAGTATGATATCATTAAGTTGAAAGAATTCTCATGAATTAGGAATTGTGTCAAATTACAGAAAACTATAGTTTAAGCATTAATTCTGTTAGTTAATATTTACGAAATTTTATAAATAAAATGTTGAATACTTTTTGATAGTCTGAATCGAATCGCACTGTGTATTGGTTAGTGACTGAAAATGGATAGTCCAAGCAAGACTAAATATAAACAACTACCTCATATAATAACATTGATTTCATTTACTAACTTGTCTATATTGTGTTAGTAAACTTTTAATTTGTATTTGGTTCTTGATTGAATTGCCAGATAATTGAGTAGTAGTGTATCTATCTTGTGATCAAGTACCGTGGTATAATTTGTAGTGTTAGTAATGCGTACAGCTTTTCCTCGTTATCACATCTTAAAAGATTACTCTGTTCATAATTTGACTTCAGGACTAGGATTTGCTGTATAAGAACTGTGTCCAAGTTTCTAATTGCTGTATTGCCTTTATTTACGACTCACTATCAGAAGATTGAAAGCCACTTGGGTAATCTGACAAGAGATAAAAATCTAGTTTAACCTGTAATGTAAACACAAACATTTTTTTTATTTTTAATGTTTTTGTTTTTCATTGAAAAACTCGTACCAAGGAAGTGTACATCAATTCACTTCAGTCGCCTTACTCGACTAATATCGGTCAAGCCTAAGAGCTTATGATGAGCAGTCATCTGGTCAGGTTACGTCATACGTTTTAAGGGTTATTTTTATGTTTTCTTAGATATATGTTCCTAGAGGTAGTTCATTTCTATAATTGACTTTCCAAGAATTATGTCTATCCATTAAACGTTCTTATCAACTAACTGGCTTTTTCATCGATCCATTAAAAAAATTACTAATGTATACGTTTCGCATTTTGAAGAGAAACATACACTTACAGTATTGGACTGATAGCTCTAATACACAAAGCACTAAACCAAAATCAAATAACTAATAGTTAATGGAGGTTTATGCTCTATTCACTTCATAAAACTAAGAAAATCAGCTTAAACTGTTTTGTTTCATAGTGCATTGTTTCATGAATTTATTTAATCTACAATCGTGACTGTGTATTTTTTAAAACAACCTTTAATCGTTGCTTCATTGTTATTCTACTTTTATTAACAGAACTAATTAGTTTGAGGTGTTTGTTCGAACCTTAAATTATAAATGTATATTTGTACTTAGCTCCTTTAATGTTAGCGCTGATAACTCACTAACTACTGCGTCATATACAACATGTAAAAGCATCTATGTGAATCGAATTAGTTTGCATGTCAGTGTCATATAAATGATGTGTATATGAATTAGATTAGATGAATTATACCACGATCATAAGTAATTATCTACTCTTTAATGAGAAAATGCTCATCACTTTATTATTTCATTTTTAACAAACATAATTAAAATGTCAAGTTTCCTCCGACATGATTGAACTTTAATAATTCTTAATGAATTTTCATTTAAGGTTCATACTAATTATCAATCTCAAAGTATTCGTCTAATCCGTCTACGTAATCCATGGGGTAACGATCGTGAATGGTCAGGTCCTTGGAGTGATCAATCTAGAGAATGGAGAAATATTCCACCTGATGAACGAAAACGAATTGGTCTCACTTTTGATGAAGATGGTGAATTTTGGTAAATATTCTTGTTTTTACTAATGAAATATTTGGATAATATTTTGTTAATAGCATGGAAGAATTCATTTTTAATCTCGATAGAATTATTTAATGGATAGGATACATGTTCATGAATTTAAGATGCATCTCCCTCATTGGTCAATACGTATGAAGTTTCTAGTATTTTCCTCATCATTCAGTGAGTGAATGCTGCATATAAAATCATGATTTTCGCTGAAGGTTTCCCTTTTAAGCACTAACGTTCACTTTATGTACTTTTTCATTCGGCAAGTTGGTATATGTTGCAATAGCCCGCTCAAAAATGACTGAATAAAATGTAGTCCTCAGTGTAAATTACACTCTTGTATCCAGTATAAAAAAAGTTTTAAATGTCGCACTTCTACTGAACATTAAAAAAGTATGATCATTGTCACATTTATTTAATCTTAAATCAAACTTTTTCACAAAGATCTCCCTTAAAGAAAATATGATTCGATCAAATTGTTGTTTGTATACATCAAATAACAATTATTTGCCACTTTTTCATGATTAAGATTCAAATAATATCCGGGTTATCCTTTAACAGCTGAACACCGATATGTATCGAATATAAATACAGCCTAAACAGATCGAGATTGCTGGTAAAGTATACTCTACTTACAATCTCTAATAACACTTAATTAACCCTAAGTAATTAAGCTAATGTTTAACCATTCAGAATGCATCTGATATGAGTGAATAGTTTACTAAATAAAGACCGATTAAATGTTAGGATTAGAGTGAGGAGTTTGATTTATGAGTTCTACATAGGGTTAGGAGTAGTAATGGTTAGGTATAAAATCAAAGAATACTTTGTAGCCATATTAATGAATACTTATGTAACTAGTTCTATAACTTCAGATATGAAGAGCCCTTAAACAACCTTTAAAACTTTATGAGCCATGTTAGAATGTTTATTCATTTTAATTTTATGTTTTCCATGTCAACCTAATCCTTCACATATCATCGTTTTAAGAGTTCATCAGTTTCATTCCTATTCTTTGGTCTTTTCATTTCTATCAATTTATTAACAAAATATAAATAGACTTTACTATGTATCTTACAAGGCTTTTACTAATAAGATACAAGCTCTCAGTCATCGCATTTTGAATATTGTGCAGTAACGTAATCGTCATCTGGAATTTGATTCGTTTGTCGGGAGAATATAGTTTTACCAAATTGATTACAATGGTGTATTTTAACAGCCATACTATCTCTTTTTAGAAAAGATTACTTGCAGTCTGTTATTTGCGTTTTTTTTGCATTTTAATATCAAAACTTTTATTTGATGTTCCACTTCTAGAACAAAACAAAAGATTTCTATCAAAAATAAGTACAGTTTTACTTGTAATGTTCTAGGAGTTTGTTAAAATTCTTTAATATTATCATTTCAATTAACATTCCTGGACAAATAAATCTCTTTCAAAATAGTGAGCTTTTATAATTCGTATTGATTGTTTTGAAATTTCAAGTTTAACGTCGAAATGTTTGAGTTCAATTACCTGTGTAAGTCATAACACAGTAATTTATCGTATGTCTCCCTCAATCACATATATGCATAGTCAAGTTATGAATAAATTATATTCTATATTATGTTCGTCTATTGTGTAAACGTACCATCAGGTAATCGTAAGCAGCTTATTATCGTTCCTATCAACCGTCCAATAATCTGCAATTATTCTACTGATATGATATTCAAAGATTAGGCCTATCAGTCAAGTCTTAATTGATTGTTGGAGAATGAGTGACCCACAACCTAATTTCTTCCAATCACCGATGACATCTTACCATGATCTGGCTAGTGGTCTTGTATATGATCTCGCATCATTCGTGGACCTAAGTCAATTATATAGTCTCTTGAGTAGCCACCACTTGATCACATTGTATCATTGCATTCATCTTTCAATTAGCATTCTATTCACCGATCTTAACAATCGAAATATTGTCGAATCGAAGCACAGAAAATCTCTTCTATAACAAATACTAAGAATGCGGCATATAAGTGTTTCCATTGAAACGTTTACATTTGTATTTTTCCCCACATAATATGTATAACAACCAAAATTGGTTGGTGAGTGACAACAACGAGTTAATCTAAATCTTCATTAACAATGATAAAAACATCATATGCAGTAGTAGCTCAGTGAATGACGTAAGGTGTTTGTTTTTTGAAGTGGAGTACTGGGTTTGAGTCCTAACATGAACATTAACACGAATTCAGATACATCCAGCTGACATGTCACTAATAGTATGAAACGATGTTTCTAAATTCCACCCTTAGCCGAAATCCATTTATTTTTTTAAAAAAACACCCAAATATACTGCTGTATTACACGGTTTATAGAACAATTTTCAATAGTTCACTATAGACTTAATGAAATTGTAATATCATATCTAGATAGTTAAGAGATGTTTCCTAATTGCTTCTTATTTTTAAAAAAGCTAAGGCTTTTGATAGGAAAAGATGTTTGTTTTACAAAGGTCTTAACTAGTCATTTGTATTTTTGAGAACGGAGGCAAAAGTTATCTGCTGTAACATGGTTCAGAATCGATTACAGTGGCGTAGTTGTATACACTCCCTGTATTCCCTTAAACCCTGAGATTTATTTATTTATTTGAACACTGAGATTAAAATTAATTTATACCTCTCTTTCTACGAACTAATTGTTTCTCCCTCTATCATATTCTTATATGCAATCTTTTTTACATACTACTACCACTGAAGTAACTGCTGTGAATTTGTTGTTCATATTGTTGTGCTAATGATGTGTGGCAACTTGGACCGATGCATATATGTGCCTCGTCTTACGTTTTAGCTTTTAGTGGCCCGTGGATCTGACTCCTATTTAGATCGTATAAATGTTTGCTATCGCTGATTATCGTATATCATCGTCGACTTAAATCGCATTATCCAATAACGGAATTAAATAAGTCGAATAACGAGAATTGACTTGAGAATACATATATTTCGAATATGAAGCGAATAAAAGAGTAGAGCAAAATGACACGTATGGAAGATGGCTGGGACGCCAACTCCATCTTTGTCAAGCGTTACTCAATATTTATAGTCAGACAAAATAAAGCTACAGACATGTGATTAATGGAATAAGAAGGGCACACACATATATGCTCATATAAAAACAGTCTAGATTGATAAGCGAATAAATAACAAGGTCAATGTATGGCTCAAGTAAAATGAATAGAATGGGATGTCCGAAAGCTCGAATAGGGTATATGGGCTTGGCATAATAACTGACACTACAAGCTGACTGACTATCTATTGTGATCACAGTAACAATATTTCAAATATGGTAGTAGATATGTGATGATAAACGTGTTTTTTCCATAAAAAAGATGAAAGTAATGTCGTCTTATTTCTCTTTAAGGATGTCTTTCGATGATTTTGTACGTTATTTCTCACGTCTTGAATTATGTCACCTTGGACCAGAATCCATAGCTTACAGTCCAGGTCCTGTCAACCGTCGTTGTAATAAACGTCAATGGGAAATGATATGTGAAGAAGGTGAATGGTTGCGTAATTCAACTGCTGGAGGTTGTTCAAATTTTCCCAGTAAGTATGTAATAAATACTTGTAATAACCAAATACTTGCATTCTAATCAACATTATGTGTTTGATTACATAAAGATCCTCATTATATTTAGAAACACAGATATAAGAATGAAGAATATTCACCTGCTCTTGTGGAGCAGGTTACATGGGCCACACAAGGCGACTGCTTTCTAAACGCATCTCCGAATATTATCCTGCGTGACGTTTGAAAATCGAATGTAAATCAGTCAATAGTTCAATGTTAAAACATCTTGTGAACTGTGGTCACATGGACCCACCTGACAAGTCCTTCTAAATCATCTATAGAGTGAGGCGATTTGATTGGAAAGGAGTACAAATTAATAGATTGTTAATGTCCTCGCAATGCACAAGCTATTATACAGTGTTAATTTGAACAAGTTTTAATGTTTGCAAACAATCCTGTGTTCACATGTCATAATTTTCATCGATGTGTTTGCCTTAAATCTAGTCAAATTTTGGATTATTAATTTGAAGTGCAGTGAACGACAACTCATGTGGAGATAACCGATTTATCGTTTGATGCAAAGTTACAGAGTGCTTTCGTAAAATATACAAACCATATATTAGATACATAATTTATACATCTTCCATCAGTTGTCCTTTAAATGCTTCATGATTGTTTCAATTCTGTTGTTAATACAGTTGATTCCTGTTTCCCCTTCCGTTTTCTTCAATTGCATCTTTTCAATCTTCTGCTAGTATGCATTCCACTTCTGATTGCCGTTACACGCTATTTATATCTGTCCACATAAAAGGAGCACACCACGGTAGAACCTGGAGACCAGGATTGATGTAACAATATTCTTCGTTTTTATGTTCGTATTTGTAAATATTGAAATTTAGCACCTCAGTTTTCTTATTTCACCATGAAGCTTGATATAGTTAAATTATTCATTTGGAAGCCATTGTTATATTCTATTGGATGATGAGAAGTCAAAATTATACATATACTGTCATAAATTTTGATAATCGTATGACATATTCCTTTACTATTGCACGCTAAATAACGTACTTAAACAAATCGATGAACAATATATTTTTGTAGGAGTATTTATACTACTGTCAATAGTATGAGTTTTATGTAAAAACATATTTTACTCTGCTGGTAACTTTAATTGAACGTTATATTCATCACGTTGCTTTTGTAGATACATTTTACATGAATCCACAATTTCATGTTGAGGTTGTTGGTCCAGATGAGTCAGATACAGATGGTAATGGCACTCTTGTAGTTGGTTTGATGCAGAAGGGATTAAGAGAAAAACACATTGAACCCCATGTGATTGGTTATTCTGTATTTCGGGTAAGAATTTATCCAATTACTGCTGTAAGAGTCATGTTCCAAAACTAATCATTGTTGTAGCTTTAAAAATAATTTATTAGGATCAAATAATTACACAGTAGCTATATAGGCTTGTGTCATTAGAAGGATAGGAATCCGACTAGAGGTATCATCAAAGTCTTCGTTGTTCAATAATTACGTTTGTATCGAACAATGTCAGTCACTATTTTCCGTCCATTTATTAAGTGAATACTTCATACTAGTGTGTGATTTTCGGTAAAGATTTCGTCTGAATCCCTAACGTCCACCATATCCAACATGTTGGTTGTGCTAAACTGACATCCCCATAGCATACGATTACAAATAGCTCTATCCGCTTGAGATGAAATAGACAAAATTGCACTCCGACACACAGTATTCACACATTTGTCGAGAGTGATGGGCTAGATACAAGGCAATCATTCAACACTAAAAATATCAATCTTGATGACTGTATTCAGAAATATCACTTGTTTTTGTGACTTTCTATTTTGGATTATTTCTCTGCAAAAACGCAAGTCAGGCTAGTGGACATGCTGTTAAAAGGATTTTATTTCCGTCGTTGAAAAAGAGTTTTGCAAAGACTGTTTCATTCTAAATATCCCATACTCGTTAATTTAACACAGCAACATAGTTTTATTTATTGAGAGTTGCCTAAATTTTAAAGCCAAAATCAAACTAAGAGATTTATCTATAAAACGACACCATTATTTGTCATAGTATAAGTCATGCATTTCATAAACCACAATTTGTGGTGTTATCCACGTTGCTTACATGTTTTAATAAACGTTCGTAAAGGTAGTGCTCCCGGGAACAGTTATATAAGGATTATTTTTTTAAAAAATATGAGATAAGCTAAGTACCTGAACCACTGTGTTAATGTATGAGTGTCAGCCAACAAAATGAAATGTTATCTCTGCATACCAAGTAACAGATGAAAAGATGTCCAGTGAACACCAATAAACGAAGATAAACTAAAAGAATAAAACTACAATTATGAATGAATTGAATGTCACAGAATCAAGAAGACATGTCAAAAATGATCAACCATGACATAATTTATTGGATATTAGTAAGACGTGTGATTGAATGCACAAAAGTAACTGGATTAATAGAAAATGTTTGAAAAGTGCAAGTACAATAAACACTAGTAGTTTCTTAAACAGTCTGCACACGTGCATTTTGACTACCATGCCAGTCTTTATGTGGTTTTATTAGAAAGCACTTAGATACTGGTTAACAGTTCATTTGTATTTGAATATCCTTCGATTGGATGACAATTGTCTTTAAAATGAACATAATAAACTTTGAAATTCCAGATTCCACGATTGCATACAATAACTGCAAATTCTTAATATAATTGATTCATCAAATATTGTTATAATTTCTCTTATTGCTTGGTAATCTTGGACACTAATTTACTCGACTAGTCCCCAAATCAGAACACGTTTGAACAGAAACGTAATTATATTATAAATAACAATGACAGATGGAAGTAGAAACCACAATAAGATACGCGTTTGTATATTTAGAGTTTTTACATAAAAAGTTTCCAGACACTTCTCTAATTCTCTGTTAGCTATGATTGGTTAAGAAATAGCCAGTCAGTGTGCCCCATCACAATTCTTCAAGGAACATGCTCTAATCCAGTCTTTATCGCGCTAACAAGTACATTTTTATGTACGCAGCTTTAAGAAAAAGGTGTGTTTTGATCGCTAGCATTACTACTTCTCTGTTTACGCCAAAAGAGATAATCAGGGGAAGAAGGAGCAGTCTTTGATATAGATAATTCTTGTAAACAACTACCAACTTGATTTTGTACAGTTATTTCTTATGATTCTTCTTTACCCTCTGATCTGTCTATTTATCATTTTTATAGATGCCTCCATCTGCTCCAAACAATCGACTGTTAGATCGAAAGTTTTTTATGACTAATTCATCTGTAGCTCGATCACCGGTATTTATTAATATGCGTGAAGTTTGTGGTAGGCATAAATTAAAACCAGGCCATTATGTGATTATCCCGTGTACATTTAATCCAAATGAAGAAGCTAAATTTATGCTGCGTATATTCTCTGAACGAGCATGTGGTTCAAAGTAAGACAAAAATTTTTTACTATATTAGGTTCTTATGAAGTTCTTTAATTACCCCCCAAATGCTACGATACGGCCAAGAGTGGGGAGAGTCATCTCTCCCTCTCGAAATGCACTCACATGGCCGCGCGTATACAGCCACTGTCAAGGAAGTCTTACTCACCACCCTTCCGTGGCACTACTGTTGCTTACGAAATCTTGAAGATGAAAAACAAATCTCCTATGCTTTAACTGGGTTGGTGAGCACGAATAGTCCTCTTATGGGGAGTTGAAAAGCCCCGACTCCAAAGCAGTGGCGCATAAGAGCCCCAGGATCCTGAGGGAACGAATGGCGTATAAACCTATTGTTGGTCACCGGCTACCATGGGACTGCATCTCCTAGCGTTGCTGTATTACCTTATGGATTAGACCTGCACGTCAAAGGCTCGGGATGTAACCCTCTAAGAAGACTGTCGGGAACATCACAGCCCTCACGCACATCAATGACAACTACTACTGCCCTCATTGTTATTGTGTGACGCATATGTATTCGGTGCCCCTTTGTACCGATGTTTGTATGTTCAAATAAATAAAATCTTGAATTTCATAGCCAGTATCACTGATTGATCATAGTCTGTCAAACATTGAAAACGTAGAAGCACTAAACAGTTTGAGACTCCTCAATAGTGGTTGTTCTAATTATTTTCGTTTCTATATTGTTCAAACCGACGACGTTTATAGTACCAAGATGAATGATTGTTTCAGTATTTCCATAAAAAGAGAGGCTATCTGGACTCGGTCGCTAAATTGGTAACGCTATAGCATTTGAAGCGAACGGCACTGAGCTCAAGTCCCGGAGTGAACATCAACTCTGGGATTCAGGTATGTCCAGCTGACGAGTCTCAATTAGGGCGAGACGTGCGTCCTGGATTTCACTGCAAGCCAACATCCATATTTGCTTGTAACGGTAGTGACTCAAGGTAATCCACATAGGATGCACATATGCCAATAAGGGACTGATCAACTGCAATCCAAAACATCAATGGGAAGATTCAAACAAATAATACAAAGATGAATTTTTAAAAAAATATTTTATGGTAGTTATGACAAAAGTTTATTATACAAATAGCACTTTTCTCTATGAGTCTAAGTTAATTTGTTTTCTTCAGCCACAGTTAACGTTCGAAATTTTCTCAGTCTTATTACTTCTTTTTAACATGAGTGTAACATACTGATTACTATTGTGAGTTATAAAACTTACCCATTTTCATAAATCAACAATATTATTAGTTGAATTCATGAGTCGATCTAAACTAGACTATCATTGAAAACCTGGAAGCACTTGATGACCGTTTCATTCTATTATGCGACTCCTCGGCAGTGCGCATCGATGATCCCGCACGTGGGATTCAAACCCAGGACTTTCGGTTCCAAACTAGGACGGAACGGTCGTCCACTGCTTCCAGGTTTTCATTGGTGGTCTAGCTTAGATCAACTCATGAATTCAACTATTAAAATTACTACAATCTCCTCAAATCCCTATTCTGATAACAATCAACAATTGTCATAAATCTCGTTAGATTTCAGAGGTATGTTAATTCTTAGGTAAGTGACTTTTAATGAAAAGTAGTCAATTAAAAATGTGGTGTGTAAAATTTATGTATACAGTTTCTGTTTTAAATTTTCTTAAGTTCAGTGCCTTTATTTGAGAGAATAATTATTTAAATACTTGTGGATGCTGTTTTTATCTGTTAATCTGTAGGAAATATGTTAGTTAAGTTACGACTACACTTCAGTTTGTCAACTGAAGTTACTAAAAAGAATCAATTATGTTACTATTAGTTTTATCCCGAATAGTTTATTGGTAACGTTTTAAACTGGAAAGCTGAATGACGCGATTTAGAACTACACAATGAACACCTGTCTTGCTGACAAGTCTCAACTAGCACTAACCAATCATTAATAAACTGTATTATTTTTTGTTGTTGTGCATACAGTTTTCCCTATAGGAAGATGTTGCAGTTTTTCAGTTATGATCGTTTAATCATTAAGTTTAGATCATATTTGTATAGATAACATTCTCAGCACTAACTCCAGATAGAAATTGAAAACTTTTCAGAATATCTTTGATCTGTAATGACGATATATTTAGTGTTTTTCACATATATACACAGTTTATGACGAGTTTTGTTTCAACACTAGTCATGAAATGATTGTGCAAACAAATATCTTTAGATTCTTGAATTCGTCTAAAGATGTACAAAATATATCATTCACCGTACTGCATTTTTCTTAAACTATTATTCTTTGTTGTTTTCAAGTGTTTGGCAGAGGGAGAGTGTTGTCTAAAACTGTGAAAATATGAAAGAGAATATCCTTATATAGGTGAATACTGAATATATATATCTATTCAGCCTGGTTGAAAGCTGATGATTCCTCATTGTTGATTGGGATAAACTTCAGAATTGAGAAAAAAATTGTATAACTTAACTTTCAATCGAATTTTCTAAACTGTTTTTATATAATTCACTTAATATTGTTTTACTTGAATCTTCCCATTGATGTTTTTGGACTGAAATTAATCAGTCTCTTATTGGCATATGTGCATACTGTGCGTATGTCTCGATATTGCCTTAATTTACAAGCATTATAAGCAAAGATGGATAGTGGCTAGCGGTGGAATCCAGGACGCGCGTTTCATCCTGTTTGGGACTCGTCAGCTGGATGTACCTGCATCTCAGAGTTGATGTTCACTCTGGGACTCAAACTCAGTACCGTTCGCTTCAAACGCCATCGCGTTATCCACTTAGCTACTGAGTCCTGATAGAGACTGATCAATTTCAGTCCAAAAACATCAATGGGAAGATTCAAGTAAAACAATATCAAGTGAATTAAACTTCAACCCATTGCACAAGCAAGTGGCTATCAGGACTCAGTAGCTAAGTGGATAACGCGATGGCGTTTGAAGCGAACGGTACTGAGTTCGAGTCCCAGAGTGAACATCTACTCTGAGATGCAGATACATCCAGCTGACGAGTCCCAAACAGGATGAAACGCGCGTCCTGCTAGCCACTATCAATCTTTGCTTATAATGTTTTTATATAGTTTTATTTTGTACGGCTGAACAATTTTTCTGTCTGTAGATGCTTCAGATCACAAATTGACATTTGTTGATTTTGCTATTGTTGTTTGAATGATTATCCTCTGAGTAGCTGTTATGGGAATCCTCAGGAATGAACACATACATACTTGATTGTATGACTAGAATCATCTATAAATCAAACTTCTCTTTGCAGACCCCTGAACTAAACCATGTATCATACTTCGAATTTTCATTAAGTTAACTTCAAATTAGTTAGTGATTGGTGTGTACCATAGAAAGCTAAAAATTATTGCTTGGTTTCTCTGTTGAATTAGAGGTCGCCAACAGTTGTCGTCCACGCCTAATGTTTCTAGTATCTTTCTTCCATTGTGGGACATAGATTTTCTTGCATTTTGCTGTAGAATTGATTTTTTAAATATATTCAATCACCCCCAAATATGTGTCTGAATGATATGCAACAATAATAATACTGTGTTATTTTTATCTATTCAAATTTTAGTGAGTTAGACGACGATACTCGGATCACTTTTATGGATGGAGTAAGTGTTATAGTATATCATTACAACATAATTCATCTATGTATTTGTCTTTAAGCTGATAATATGCGTGTATTTGTTTGTAATTAATGGGACTTGGTGCAGTAGTGCTGTTTTATGCACCTCTTATGTGGACAGATGTAAGTAGTATGTATGCACAAAATTTACGATTTTCATATTTTACAAAGGTACTGTGGCATTTTGCACAGAACAATAAATTGGTTTACCTTGCCTGAGTTTTTGTTCATTACCTTTGGTGTCTTTGCCTCCGGCGAGGCGGAGAGAGGTCAGTTCTGCGGGGCCGGTGGGGGAGTAGTTAGTTGGAATGATCTGGAAAGGAAACGTTGAGTGTAGTGGTCTGGCGAGGCGATGTTGAATGTCGCAGTCGCCTTTGACTAGAGAAGACGGGATGTGCCGGGTGGACGTCGGATGTAGGCTGCCCAGTGGGTTGCTGTTGGTGTAAAGGTGTTGGACGTCCCGGATGCTGGGCGGACATCGAATTTAAATAATCCGATCGGTAGACAGAGCTACGGAGGTCCATGCCCCGGTGAACTCGACATTTCATTGGGGAGCAACGCACAGACTGACGAATGATAAGGCGGCATGGCGATCATAACAATTGCAAGAGCGACTTTTTAAAGCTGGAATGAGTGTGATATGCTCCTCGTATGTGGACAGATATAAATAGTGTATAGCAGGAATAGGATGTGGAATACTTACTAGCAGAAGATTGAAACAAAGAGAACACGAAGCAAAGCAAAATACAATCGGAATAACAACAGAATTAGAAAGATGATGGATTATGCAAAGGACAACTGAAGGAAAATGTACAAATGATGCGTTTAACGTCTAGTTGTCATATTTTACAGAGGCACTTTGTGATTTTACTTGATTTTTCGTTCACTATAGTACTACTTGGTCGATCAAATCAAAGTATTCATGGTATGTAGGTAGGATACAAAATCCGGCGTTTAGCGACTGGACAACAATCGAACTTCTTAACTAACTATTTATCCCTAGTTAAATGTTTATATATATAATATTACTCGATTAATAGTTCTCAGAAGCAACCTATAATTTAATCTTCACTAGGATATAACAGAAAGTAAGGACCATTACTGATTTGGCGATATAAAGGAAACGCCATTACCATGAGATATGGATTTTCTAGGTTTGAATTCCAGCAGAACCACGGATGGGAACTGTTGTTGAATAGTTCAAGACTAAGATGAAACAACTGTCCAGTGAAAGATAATGATGTAGGTTAAGTCAGTTCAAAATGCAGACAATTTCATAATTGAACAACTCTCCACGAAAAATTAAATAAATATTCAATCTAAAGTTAGCTTATCCAATTGAACTGATTGTTTATTTAATTTAGTTTCACTAAGTTGGTTTGACTGACTGATTTATATGACGAATATCTGTGTGATTCAACCACTCAGTTTACAAATGTATACATACATATATTAATAGATTACCTCAATGTGGATTTGAACAATCTACAAATAATTTATAACATCCATCTTAGAAAACTAAACTAAAACGCAGCTTCAAGGAAGAAACATAGAAAGGGAAGTAATGAACAGTAGCTAACATCTAAAACTATTTGATGATAATTGGATGCTGATCAATAATTTTGCATGTCACATATACTCTTATTGTATAACTATTCAGTAACTAAATTATGTATATTCATATTCCTCTCATTATAAGCTTTATTTTGATCTATAGACTATTATGATACGATTTACTATTCTTAAATTATACTCTGTTTATTAATTACAGTCTCCCACGATCACAGCCACTTTTTGGCTTTATCTTGTAAAAATGTTATTTCCTATTTTATGGTGTGATGTGGTCTGGTTGGCTTTTTTATAAACCAGATATGTTTGGAATAAGTGATTCATGTAGTGGGAGCTAGTATTAGTGTTCTGGACTCAACTGGCAGGGCTAGGAGGAATAAAGACCAATAAAGACGCTAGGTTGCTGATACCAGTCGACCGTCATTGGTTTGGCACAGTGTTAAGTTGATATAGGTCGTATTTCGATTGGCGAATACGTCGTGTGATAATTAACCGGGCTTAGAAGTCACAACACTTTCAACCTCAGTTAGTTTGTAATGTAGCAGACCTATCACCCAGTTTTCTGGATCGTACTTGAGACTTTCAGTACAGCTAGGTTCATCCATTCAATTTGTTAACGTACTTTAAGTGGAACAATTGCTCAGTAGTTAAGGTATTCAAATTGCAACCACTAGATAATAGGTTCAAATCTCACCCCACTTATTTTAATCTACGGTGGTGAGTAGTATCACTGGTCATCACACCTAGGGTAAATACGCTTTTTATGATACATTGACGAGAAAAAAATAAAAATTATCATAAATCGTTAATTAACAATAATGGCTATTAGTATTTCACTTAACTGAAAATTGAACAGTTTAATGATCTAATTAAAATGATATTAGATAATCCATTGTTTCTTTCGTGTGATTGAAGTTGTACTTTAGTCGTTTAAGTATATGATCTTTAAGTCCATTGGTTCATTAATTTAACTCAGAATTTATTCTACTTGTTCCAGTTTATTTTTTAGTATAGAACTGATTTACGTCGTGATGAAACATATCAATATTCCTACATTACTTATAATTATATAGTTGGTCGTTTAAAACCTGTATACTAATTTGATACTTTAAAATCTTTTCTAGAGATCACTCGATATCCATCGAATGCAAATGATAAATATTATGTGAGCATATACAGTATATATGATCAATCTAAATGATAACGTATTTCGGTGCCCTGTATATAGAACCATACAAAGCATGGAAGTTGGTTACAATAGCTCAGATGTATTCACTTACTTCTTTCCTTTATGTCCCGAGGTTCAAAATGATCTTATACTCTCTTATTCTACGAATTCATTATTTCTTCTCAATTCATATTATTTATGACTAATCTTTTTTTCTACTGCCGTTACTGATACTGTTACTACTTCTAATTCGGCATTTGTCTTGATTATTTCATTTCGCTTTGCTGTAATGCTTTGACAACTTGAAACGATTCACATATGTATCAAGCACTATATTGCACATGACTAATTATATAAAGCACAATCCGTTCTTAGCTATTAACCCCCCAAGTAACTATCAAGTTGTATCTCTGTCTACTTTCACTTACATCCATATGGAATTTAAGAACGTTCGAATGTAATTGGATTTTTTTCTTGTTGTAAAGACCAGTCTTACTATTTAATCAATTTCTACTTTAATACTAGATTTGTTCATATTATTTCTTTGTGTTCGACTTGTTGATATTTACATCTGTTCTCTTCTGTTTTGTTTTTTTATTATATATTGATAGCCTGATCACCCAATTAGAACAGCTGATGATAATTTAATAGAGAAATTGCAAGTTGTCTTCAATAAAATAGCTGGTCCAACTGGAGCAATCACATATACTCAATTACAAGATATATTAAATGAAGCATTTACAAAAGGTAATCTCCAGTAGAGTTAGTTTATTTATTAAAAATCTCTTACTATTCATATATATATATACTAAAGTTTCTGGGATATGACCTGTTGATATTTATACTTACTATTATCAATTACTTGAGACGCTTATCAATTAATCTTTCAGATTTTAGAAGTTTATGTTAACAATGAAACCATAAATAAAACAAAACCGGTTACTTATTCGAATATAGTAGTTAGTGTCTAAGAGCTAATACATTATTTTCGTACAGCTTGGAAATCAAGAGACTTGTATTTTAATCATAATATTATAGAGTTAACCCATAGAATTTGAACAATTATGTCACGTCCACTACAATCCTTTCTCGTTCGTATCCTATGTGTATTATCGTTAAATCTCACTCTATATATGCGTATGACGTAAAACTAGTTGTAACTGTATGTGAATATTGTGATGGTTACTCACCAATATCACGTGACAAAAACAACAATCGAAATCCGTCTCATCATCAATAACTTTGTGTCAAAGATAAGTTCTTATTGATTCTAGATTCAGTAGCTTCTCTCCCTACAGAATATAGTAATCAATCTGAACAACTCGAATATTATATTTTAAACATATTGAGTTTGTGTACCGACATACTCGACCATAAAATACGAAATAATTATACATTATCAAGCCCAAAAGTGGTTGTGATCAGGGGAGTTACTGTGAATAATAAAGTGACAAAGGATTAGTTAATGGGTTAACCGGAAACTCATAATAAAAGGAATATACATATAGTAACCTAGTTACTTAATAATTATACAATAAAAATATATATATTCATGCGATCAGAAACATATCTGAGTTATTCAGAATAGTATGACGAAGGTTATCTGCAGTGTTTTCAATATACAGTGTGTTGCACCTAGTGTTTTCAGACAATTGTTTCATCCATTTAGTGAATAAATGCTACGTAATTGAGTTTAATTTTTACAAACTATTTCAAATGCCTGTCTGTTATCAACTGTCAGTATAGCACAAATCAACATAATGAAAAAAATATTTATGAAACTTAAGGTTTGAAATGAAGCCTTTCATGATAATTGTTTTCTAATATACACCACTTACATAAAACAAATAGAACATTAGTTAAAAGTTCTGGATGAAACATTGCAACCACTGAAGGTGTTGCAGATGACTTCAAACGAACAAGTTATGTAGATGATACCAACTGTATTGACACAATTTACGAGTGGGGAATAAATGTTGTACAACTTATTCACAATACAATGTATATATATCAAAACACATATGAGCCGAAGTCTAAATAACTTAATATAGTGACTGTAATTACAGCACTATGGGACACTATTTCAAATAAATGCCTTCAATCGAAAAAGACTATTTCAGAGTTTTCTTCCGATTAGCTTCAAAAAGGTAACACTAAACTTTTTATCTATCTAGTCGATACATTTACTGTGAAAATCGTTTTATCTCAAAATATCATGAATAGCAAATGGTTTTATCAGTTTTATATGAATATGTAAATTTTAAGGGATTCATTATAGATGACATAAGTTCTGTCGCCAGAAGTTCAAAATTGATTATCTTAAAAGATAACTGAAAACTATTGAGTAGCGGCTGATCATTAAAAGATGAAATCTTAAACCAAGCTTATTAATCATTTATCAATTAAAAAATGTCAGTAAACTCTATAGCCGTATCGTGTATCTAATCACTATTCTAATCCAACTCTTGAATCGGTTTCCTAAGCTCTTCTGATAACCTCAGGCTAGGTCTACATGGCAACTTGGAAATAAGAGGAAAAGGCGCGAAGTTTGAAAATAACGTTTTACTCCAACGTTTGTTCATGTACAGAAAATCGAGCGTATTTATAGTATTTCAGATGGCCTTAAATTCTCGGAAGTTCCTGAAACCATACTAAATATAGTAGCAGGTTAGGTAACCATTCAATCAGAAACGTGGATCGCAACTCCTCCCCTTCTATATGTTTTTGAGAAGCTTCTGTTCAACTCTGAATGGATATAATGTTTTCTAGCGTTTTCAGAGCCTCTGAAATTTTCAAAGGCATTCTTTGGATCTCTTCAATAGTATCAACGTTGAATTATCACATACATCAGATAATACGTGACAAGAAAAAAAAACAAATTAATGATGGACAAAGATAATCTTTTATTGTTGGTTATAGTATACATTAAAAATGAATACTGAGCCGTCGTCCAATGGTGTTCATGTCTAACTTCAACCGATCCACGAAGTTGCGCCATCGCACACCATTGTCTTCAATGAGCTGATATCTCACAACAGACCCGGTTGAACTCCACTGGTAACGGCTTCTCACTAGAACTCCAGAAGCATCTCTTGAAGTCAGTCACTAGTGAGCAGATGATTATTATCAGAAGGGGTTTGTGAAGATTTTAGAAATTTCACAGAATGAAATCATGAGTCATTTGAAGCTAGACCACCATGGAAAACCTGGAAGCACTGGACGACCACAGTAGAACGAAACGGCCGTCCAGTGCTTCCAGGTTTTCCATGGTGGTCTAGCTTCAAATGACTCATGATTTCATTCTGTGAAATTTCTAAAATCTCCACAAACCCATTCTGATAAAAATGAATACTTTCTAACCCAACTCAGAAAAAGTTCACAATGGAATAGTTTAATTGATTCGATTTTCTTTAATTTATTTCTGTTGATTTTTTTCTTACTTAGATTTTCCATTCGATGGATTTAGTCGAGAAACTGCTAGAAGTATGATGGCCTTAATGGATGTATCCTTTTATTTTTAATTTTGTCTATGGAAATTCAATTTTAGACTAGCAGTTTTGCAATAAACGTTGGAGATTAGTAATAATAAAATTTATTAAAAGGTGGTTGTGCAATATTGCGAAATGATTGAAGTTAGACAATATAAACCAGTAGATGTGCTCTCCATAAAACTTAGAGTTTCTGGATTCGGTCTCCGTTAAGGTTGTAGATGTACACTACTGAAGAACCCCGCTATCAGAATGAAACAGCTACTCAGTGTATTCAGGTTCTTAATGATTATCAGTGTGTTATGTAAACTAAGAAAATCAGCAATTTTCACAATTAGAAAATGACATGAACTGGAAGAATAACTGAAAGAAAGGCCTAGACGCATTATACAGCTAACCACTTCATCGTTTTCTTTTAAACACAGCTTAGCAGTGTATGGAAATGCTATCATGGCGTGAGTCAAATTCCGAAACACTTTATTTTTAATATACTTTCTTCTTACACGTAGATGAATTCAATTGCTTTATTCTGTTATTTACAATAACATATCCAAATAAATTTGGTACCAATGATCTGAGTGTTCTTGCTCCCTTAGATATGATCACATTTTACTTGAATTGAATGATAAGTTAAATGTTGATTCAAAATACAACTCAAGGTACTATCCAAAATGTTATGTCAATTGTTAAAATTAACGTCTACACTGTTAAACTGATAATTTAATCCTTTTCACTCATGCTCATCTCATTTATCATTCTTTTCAAATAATTTGAGACATTTGGCAACCAGTTTCATTTTTAAAAAGAATGAAAACGTTTCAGCGTAAAAATTTTCTTCTCGACAACATTATTGTCTAAAGCTGTACAATTGTATTCATAAGTTATATACATATATTGTATATAGTAACACCCTCTGTTATAAAATCATTGAAGATAGTCAAACTCATTCAAGTATCGGGTGTGAAAGTCAATGAAAATGAAGTGGTATCGCATAATCTAATCATGATTACCAAGAAATTCCAAGTATTGAATATACTAATTTATTGAAGGCAAAGTGGTATTGAAAGTTCTTAAGTATTGAATAAACTGAGTGTTGCATTATTTATCAAAGTTATCAAGAACTAATTTCATAGTTTTGAAAGTAACAAGAAGTGATAATTTATGCAATAAAAGCAAACAATAACTGTCTACCTTTAAAAAAAAAGAATATTGCGAGTAAAATGATAATTAGCACTTACGATTTGTAAAATTCCGAGGCGTGCTGGAACCATGGAATAATAAGGCATCGAACATGACTCTTTTCTTACACAGAGGTCGGATTTAAAATGGTGCATTTCTATAGCCTCAGCTGTACAACAATTTTTTATCCAAACCTTTTTTATGCCAGTTTTTCTTACTTTGCATATCATTTACAACAATGATTCTCCGGTTGGAATGTGACCAGAGCTGATCATGTATCCAAGGATTGCTCTTGGTAAGCAAATATCTGAACGGTACTCTGTGTGGCTATGTGAAGGAGAATGCAAATCGATCAATACTTCAAGCCATGAACACATAGTCAACTCTGGCCACATCCCACCACGAAAATCGTATTTTCTCCGTTTGTAGACTATTGGATACTGCTCCTTATGCTTCACCATTCCGACTTACATTCCCCATCTAACCTCTGATATTATTGCTTTAAATTCCTGTTACCCAACACCATTCCTACTCTATTTATTTGTAACTACTTCTAGTGTGCGATTTGTGGAGAATGACAGCTGTAGAGTTTGATTCTACACTTCATTAATTAAAGCAATCCAGTTTATATTACTTCTACAATTTTGGCATTTGATTTTGTTAATCTCGTTGTGCTAATATGATGTAACATTTTGAATCGATGCATATGTGCCAAGTTCTACATCGCTCAGGACTGTAATCCAGCTAGATAGATTGGATTTAATTTTTATTGGATTATCATTGGCTTTGTAGTAGTTATAAAATGAACGTACATTTTAATCCCTAGTTATATGACTAATCAAATTGTTTATATTATCCTTGACCATGTTCCATAATAACATGTAATGATACATAGGCTGATTTAAGCGGTGGTTTGGGCTTTGATGAATTCAAAAAGCTATGGATGGAACTACGCATTTGGAAGGTACTTTCATCTTATAAATTGTTTTAAAAATTTACCATGCCTTATAGTACGTTTCTAAAAGTATAATTTGATATATTTTCGCCTGTGTCAACTACTCCATTTTAACGTGAATGACGACCACCGTCAAGAATATTGTTAGTGTTTTGGGAATTTTGAATTGATTCATTCGTGTAATTCTATTCTAACCTAGTTAATTATAGAGAATGATCATATTTTTATTCCTATAATAACTGTATGATCTAGAACAAAACGAATAGAGTGAAGATTTATTTATTTCAACGCATAAATATTGGTACAAGAGGGCACCAAATATATATGGGCCACACCATATTTGTGTGTGTAGGCTGTGATACTACCCGGGTGCCCAGACCGAAGCAGGTGGTTTTCTTAGGGAGCCACACCCCGAACCTGTGACCTAAAGGTCTGATCAACAAGGCAGTGGAGCATCGTGAGGAGATGCATTCCCATGGTAGTCGGTGACCAGCGATTGGTTCATACGCCATTTTTCCCGCAGGATACTGGTGCCCATGTGCACCATTGGTTTGGGATCCGGTTAAAGCGCCGGACATAGAGTGAAATGTGAATTCTCATATTATCCTTGTAATAAATTCACTAATGCGCCATCATTTTTGGTTTCGACGTTAATACATATACCTATACAACCGAGTTCCCTTTCAAATCTAAACACATTCATTTTGGCTTGATTTTTTCAATGTTCCCATCCTAGGAACAGTATTTGGAAACGAACGTACTAAACAGAAGTTAATATCATCTGGATAATTACTTCCAATCATATCTGTCAATTGTCCATGATGAGGTTCACCAGTGAAATAAATGACACTTCCAAACACAGTACTACTTTGAACGATTAAAATATTAACGTCCTTGAGTAGATAGACACATCTGGTCCTCTCTAGTATTATGCAACACTACTCTCTCAATAACTGAATTTCCACTGTATACAGATATCTAGGTAGTATCGATCATTATACTTGCTGAAGTCTTTTAATTGTGGTTTGGACGCGAAGACTAAACTAGAATTCATAATATAATAAAGATAAACATGTTTATTTTGAATCCGAATAGAGAAAGCCGACTTGGTTTTTAATGATACCAAACATTTGTTGGAATTAATTAACCATTGAATGTTGAAAGTAATCGTAACTTATCATAAAATCACAAGAGAGTTAAGCAATTCAATCCGAATGAATACGTTGAACAACTGTTATACACTACTATTTCCATCGCTGTCATGCAAGTGGTAGCTAATCATCAAATCTTGTTTGAATTTTTAATTTAGAAGTAGACTTGTACTGACTCTCTTTTTCTCAAACCTAAAATATTCCTTCCTTAAGATTAGATTTATGCATGAAACTGATAATGAATATTTCTAACTTTTTATTTGCATTTCCTCTAAACCCAACAATTCATTATTTCAGACTATTTTCAAAAAATTCGATGAAGGTCATATTGGTAGCTTAGAAGCTTTCGAATTAAGAAATGTAATGAGGACCATCGGTGAGTGAAAGAAGTCCTTTTATCTCATTTGCCAGGTACATATTCGTGTACTTGACCTCGAGTCAGATTAAGTGTGCATCCTCGGTCGCTTAAAGCGAAGTAGATTAAACCGGCTTCGAACCTGTCACTTAATGTCTAGAAGTCGAATGTCTTAACTGTTAAGCCACTTCTTCACAGGTGGGGAAATACTATTTGCTACCACGTAAACCAAATTTCTCATAAACATAATTAATAACAGAAGAAAGCAATACATGACAAAGATTAAAAGCCTAACATGATCTATGGATTAATGTAATCGGACGATACATATTGTTGACTCTGTGAAAAGCAAACCCATTCAAATACCCAGTTTCCAACAAGACGATGTAATCTGAAATCCATTCTTAAAAATGAAAACCTCTGAAAATCAGGATTGCATTCTAAGACCATCTGAAGTGAAGAATCCGAACAATTGGGAACTTCCACTTTATCATGAGGTCGAAAATTCTATCAAAAAACATCGAAGTATGTCAGTTTACACTAAGAGTCAAAGATATATAAAACACAGGATTTTCAAAGTACAATGAAATCATAACTCCTGACTTAAGGAAATGATACTAATGTGTATGTGTACCTTATTTTCTATGTTTAGTCTAAAACATGTTAGCTGCAAAGTACTAGTCGTAACCATACAATTGTTGTAACGCGTGGACTGCTGATTAGATGGAGCAGCGTATTTATCGATCGATTTAATGACACGAAAAACACGTACGGACGGCCTAGAGTCTCGATTAGTCCCGCTTCCCTGTCTAGCCCAGCCAGTTGAGTCCAGAACACAAGTCTTAGCTTCTGAGATATGAGTCATTATACCTCAGACATACTCTATGTATATACCAATCAACCAGACCACATCGTACCATAAAACAGAAAACAACATTTGTACAATATTTAACAAGTGAAATAAATATCGACCAATAGGGAGTGTACATTTGAAGTCCAAGGCCACCATTAGACTTAACATGATAATTATTGGTATATTTTCTGCACATCCTAACAACAATAATTGAAACAAAAAAGCTAACTGTACATAATTATGCAGTGGTAATCGTGGACAGGCGATTTAAAATAGTAGTGACGAATAATTACCAGGATTAACCGATATTTTACCAAGCATTTCTAATCCTTGGTTGCAATATTTATCCAGCTGTGTTTCGTCCAGATTTTTTGGAGGCATTGTCTTGATCAATTGTGTACTCTAGGTATTCTATACAGATCGTGTGTACAGTACTGTATTCGTATTTTCGACCATTACAATCAGTTAGTTAGTTATTACCTACTTATGTTTCAAACTTATAATACAATCACCTCATCTTTTTATTTGTAACGTGAATGCATCGAACATAATCCTTGTAGTCCCATATAGTCCGGCATCTTATTGTTGCTATTAGACAATAATACATTTCATAACCATCCAGTGAGTGAGTGATCTTATGTACTCTTTGGACCTAGTAGTAATGCATTTTAATTCCTATTATGCCGTTACACACGATAGTTATCATTCTGTCTATTAATCGCGTGTTCATGCTACTAAAAAAAAGTAAACAAGTTTAAAGCATTGTACAGAAACAAAATAGTCCAGGAGTGTGACAAAAATTAATCGGTTAATTCACGAAAATATGGATTTACAGCATGAAACGTTGACAACTAATTTAGTTGATACAAGCTATTTCTTCTACTTACCAAGTAATCCTCTAATTCCTATATTTTAAGTATCACAAAACTAAAAAATTTCTTTTCGATAATACGGTTATGATTGTATACGAAAATCTTTTTTCCGTATTAGGTTTTCATGTCAGTAATATGATTTTCAAGGCTATTGCTTGTCGATATGCAAATGAAAAAGGTCAAATTTTATTTGATGATTACATTTTGTTATTGATCCGACTATCCACTGTTTTCGAAACATTCAAAGCACAAGAGCGCACTCGAGATGGCCGAGCTGTCTTTGGAGCTGACGATGTAAGTTTGTATTAGATAGTCTGTTCAAAATTTCAAGTTGTTGTATGTTATTTGGTTGGGGATAGTCGGGAGGGAACCATGGATCTGGGTTTATTACTAGTTGGGACTTACCAGCAAGATATTAACTACACTCTAGAGGAAACTAACGCTTCCCGTGGTAATCCAACCCGCACTCCCAGGTTCTAGTCTGTGACATCACCACTGAGATATCTAAAATTGATTAGTCAGTTATCTTAATATCCCAACATAGCGCATGCGTTACCGAGTCACTCAGATTAGTGGCCACATTGCAATTTGGTCAGCACTAAAAGACCAGGCTAACGTGACATCGGTCATTACATAGTGAACAATCAATTGTAAGCAATTGCATACTATACTGGCAGTGTACGGAAATTCAGAAAACGAAGCCATTTGGAATATAATTCAAGCGTACAGCCCAAGTCATACGACCAGTAACAAAAGAATGAAGAAATGTTTCATGTTGATGATGGTCATCAGCTGTTGCATTGGATACCAGGAGATATTCAGTATATGGATATACACAAGATAAACTTTGAATGACAGTACCAATGAATCATTGTAAGTTTGAGTTGAGTTAGACAGGAGGCCATAAGTAAAATTCCATACGGATCAGAGGGCGATCATTGCAGTACTTGAAATATCTGGCGCTATGTGGATATGATATAAGCAATCATCGCAATAACTGTGATCTTTATGTGGAGAATAAGCATTCAGCTCTACAATGTATCTGTACTAGCTGAACAAACAAGACTGTGGCGACAACTTAAATTTTAAGTGTTCCTAGTAAGCAGCTTCCAACTTTTATTCTTAATCTTCATTCGTTTCATATGATGTACACTCTGTGTTACATAAAGTTAACATCAAATCCACTTCACAACTGTTTTCAACCAGATTTTCCTATTTATTCCTCCGGCAATATTCCACAGAATTTACCAGAACAGATTTCAAGTGTGATGCATCAAATTTTTTTTCTAATATATAGACTCAGTAGATCAGTGCTTAGCACAATTCATCGGACTACATACCTAACGGACTATTAATGCAGTTAGAAATTATCTTTGAATAAGATCGATGATTTTCACTAAAACCTGGTTTGTTATTTACTATGGACTATCCGTTGCGAAAAAGAGCCGTCTCAGTAATAGAATGTGCTGCTAGCGTCTTCAAATCATGTTGACAACTTATCGCTTCACATTACTATCCATTTCTTATTTTGGTAATGTATGAATTTTAGTTTCCAATTTGCTCATTCTTATTTTAATCTACTGCTTAGTATATTATACATGCATTCTACATTCGTTTTGTTTTTTCCAGTTTATTCGCTCAGTTATATATATTTAGAGACCCCAATTAAACCGCCATCATAATAATATTTGTGAATACAGGCATGTATAATACATATACACACAACAGAAGAAACCGGCTACTTATATGTGTATACAACTCTTACAGAGATGCCGACCGTGATAATTAGATTATTTTGCTATTTGCTTTTTTTTGTTTTGATTTTGCATGCTCAAAAGAAAACTTACAATATATTTATTATCTTACAAAATGTCATTTATACCTTTTGGCATAGAAAACGCACTGGTTTGCTTTTATTTACTTGATTATTATTAACTATGCTACAAATAGTTCCTATTGAAATTGTCATAGAAGGTTGAATCAACTGAGCCAGTATAGTACTGTAACAGATTTTAATGATGTTTTGTTCTCTGAGCTCGATGGTTTGGTCGTGGAGCTTTTATCGTTCTTCTGAACGACATCACAAAGAACAGTGGTTGATTTTACAAATTCACCGACATACAATCTGGCGAAATACTTAACTAGGATACTTAAACGATATAGCAAATTGATTAATCATGGAATTAAAAACATCTATTGAATTCAAGAATAATATCGATAACACCTATATAGAATATGATCAATTAATTAGGTAAACTGAACATTGAAGATGTAATATATCCATAGATTGTTTTTTTTCATTCACTGATTCTACTAGTATCCTACAACAATCCACTGTCATTTAATTTTAGAGCATTTTGATCAATAATTACTCAACATTGTACTTTACATATATTATCAAACCTTATTAAGTTTAAGCAGTATTACAGGGTATTTTAAATCGGCTGGAAATTGACAGATAATTTTCCTCGGAGAGATACATCAGGGAAAATTTACCTAAAATCACTATCTTATCTTCATACAAAAGTACAGATATTTCTTTGAAGCGGATCGTAATCAGTTAATGTAGTGCTTATTAAAAATAACTAGGCTGGTAAGTATTGTATTGTACATTAGGCTAAACATTTGCAAAAAAAGAACTCAGTTCAGGTCCACTCGCGCTGACGAAATAAACATCCGTTCAAAAAGCTACACTGGTCGCTACGTTTAAAAAACGTAACCTGCCTAATTATTGCGCTATTATACATACTGTGAGGAGAGACGCTTAGTTTCTTTTGCGTTAATCGTTTCTCGACTGCATACAACAGTTTTTCAGTATGCGTTGTGGAGGCAAGGCGCTGTGCAACACATTAAGAATAAGATTAATAGCAAATTATCCCAATTTTAGAACAAGGACATTGAAAGACGGACGTTTACTGATTCGGTCCATCATATATTACAATTCCTGTTTTTCATTACAACTTGTTGAATGATACAATATCTACAGATTGGACATGTTTCGAAAATTCCTTTATAGATTCTTCAAGGAAGTCAGTTCCAACCTGAAAGCAAACAGAAGTAGGAATTTATTACATAGATATTAGATTTGATTAGCTTTACCACCTAATGTTATTTAACTTTGTGATCAAACTGGGCTTAGATGTCAAATCAACAAGTAGTGAAAACGCTTACTTGTAAAAAAAGTGATTTTAGTGTTGGATAAAATAGTAATGCAAAAGATTGCCTACACATAATAGTCTCAGTAATTCGTAGTATAAACTAACCTTGTCATCTTCAACGACACAACAGATTTGGAGCTTCTTTATGCCAAAAGCGATGGGCACTAATTTGGATGCACCCCATAAAAGGCCATCTAGTTTAATACCTTTCACCAAAGAGGTAAGTTCTTCCATATCTACCTCATCATCCCATGGTTTCACATCAAGGGTGATACTTGACTTTGCCGCCACAACAGGCTCTAAATGAAATAAGTTGGTGTATATACAAACACTTAATAGATAGTAATTAACAAACTCCATGCAAGTGAAGAAAAATATAAGTAAATACAAGTTGATTAATGATTGATGTCATTTTACAGGTCTCGGAAAGTTTCTTTATTATCAGTTCATATTAGTAGCAGTGTAATTACGCGTCGTAATCAATTGAATCCAATCAGAATTTCACACAACATTCTTCACGAGAGGAAAATCAAACTTACAGTTTTCTCTACTCTGATGAGTAAATTCACAACGAACATTGATGCAAACATTAATTAGTAACAAATACAATAAACCATACAAGTGTTTTAGATCCAATACTATCACGCTGGTATTATGCCATCATGGAATATATGTAAATTCTGAGTCTTATCACGAAAGTTTAATAGCTATCATGTAAAAATTTTGGGTTGGAATTGAATAATCTACAATTCGCAGATAATTGCCTTGCAATGTTCTTAAGCTTTACACATATTATGGGACAAGTTTTGTTATAATCAACTAGGAAGTGCTACTCAAACAGCTTAGACTATTTAGTGAAACGTAAAGTTTACCAGCATGACTAGACCACGTCTTGAGGACGTTTTTACCTACCTAAATGAAGTTGTACCAGCTTTATTAGATCCATAGTTATTTGATTAAACGATAGCACTAACTCATTCAATCGATGTTAACTTGAATAGCTTAGGGTCTTTTGAAATGCAATCATAAAATGTAATCAGTGAATACAATGGAAAACGCGCGAACTATCACCAATTCTCTGTCGAGATTAGTACGGATAAGCCAGTGTAAGACTTCATACAAATACAGATCACTTTATGTAAATACATCGGCATAATATGAAGGAGCTTAAAATGACGAACGACTACTTTGGGACCACATCGGAATAGGTCTTTAAAATAGTTTAAATACAGAACATAAACCATATTATTTTGCATTACTGCTATAGTATCTATTGATCAAAGAAGCATAAATACCCTCATTTTATCTTAATTGTGTTAAAACAACACTACAATTGCCTATTGTAGAAACCGACATAACTTAATGAATTTGTACAGCTAATAGGGTAAGCGTATGAATGGTCGCATGAATAATCATAAGTAATGTGTCAATACTTCTTAACTTTCAATTGACTTATATACCAAATACGTTTCGTATACCTAACTTCGAGTCACATTTAAAGTAAAGTAGGAGCTAAGTACAGACTAAATGGTAATAAGTTTAACATCTTAACTACTGAAGCAGTGTGAATGAAAAAAACTTAGCCAGCTTTATGTGTCTAAATGGGCGGATTTTAAAATCAAAACTTACTTAGAGCTTTTTTTGCAAGGTATTCGGCTTCTCTCTCACTCCTGATACGCTCAGCTTCTTTATCCTCCTGAAGGAGTTTGGAAAACTTTAGTTACATACCTCGCTGTCTGAACCAAATAGATCAGGCTCTGAATCTGATTTTTCTCCAACTACATCATGAGGATCATTACTCAACTTCATAGTGCTTATGCGTGACTCCAGATCTGATATGCGACTAACAAGACTTGTAACAACTATATGAAAAGTGTGATTGTTATTATCATTAAAATTAAACACAACATTTTAAAAATGAAACAGAAAAACCTCGACGGTTGTGATAACGAGAAACGAAATAATGACGAATAGGTTAACAAGTGACACCACTAATTCTTTAGAAATGAAGAATGCGCTAACCCTCTGTGGTAATATCACTGCGTCCAAGGAGGACGCGGACTCATTTGCATCCACCAAAGCATATCGAAGCCTGAACGTGGACTTCAAAAGAAACAGTCATTTTTTAAACCATATTTCTACATGTAGGTGATGGTGATTGTTTGTCTAATATTGATCTTTTATTATGGGATCCAAAGTTCGTGTATCAATGTTCAAAGTTGTTACTTGTTAAATTTAACCGATTTCATATTTTAATTTCTTAAAATGATCGTCATTATGTTCCCAGAAGTAAAATTTCAGAGACCTATTGTTTTTTTCACTTAATTAAGATCCTATCACTGGCTTCCAGCCATTCATTGGAGTCTTAGGATGTTCAGAAATAGATAAGTTTATAATGGAACAGTCATTTCCTCTGAACTGAGGTTATTATGAGTGATTTAGTTATGTGCTAAACACTACAAGGCACTGTTTGCTAGGCGCACAATAAAGCCTAGCTCTAGCGTAAATTAAGAAAAACAGATTGATCAAAGAATTAGGTCAAATGAATCTGCCAAGTCACTGGAATTCTTAAAGCTGCAGAAGTATAATTGAGGTTTTTGGTTGAAGTAAACAAAGATTAAATCAGTAGTAACTGAGAATTTATACTATGAAAGAAAACATCAGTATACAATGACGCCACCTAACGAGAAGTGATGACAAAATGATAAACCTGTATGAAAGCTTATCTAAATAGTCAAGCAGAGTTCGTAAGTAGAGATGAATATTAGTAGGACAAAAGCGATTTATGTAGAACAAGACAAGATAGAGACTGAAGTCAAAAGAACAAAGTGTAAGTTAATGAACAAATAAGTCACAATAAAAAAACCTATTCTATCAATTACCACCGAGTGATAGAGAATTTAACAAAATCAATAGTATGGATTTTATTTACTATACAACTTATTATCATACTAAAAACACAATTCTGAAATACGCATTTTTCAAGTCGCTATACAGCTGAACATCCAAATAAATTAAATCAGTCACCTATTTAATATAAAGTCTTCGTTTATTAAAGTCAGTATAAAAATATCATTACTGGAGGGAACGACTTACGTTTTTCAAGTTCATCAAGACGTCCAACGTCGAAAGGTCGGGATACAGCAACCTAAGGAAGTAGAAAACAAAAACAGAATCTCGATTTAAAAAGCGCTTCTCGAAATGACAAAATAATATCACGAAACATCCCTGACTCACGTGCACTACAGAAAACACGGGTTTCGACTACGGTAATGGATGGTAGTGCGTCTGGAAATGAATGTCTTGGAACAATTGAATGCAATATTGTGGATCAACAAACTTCATTAAACTACGATGTTAACAGTGTCAATACGCTTCAAAAAAGCTGTAAACCTTTGAACCAACACATATGTGAGCAGTGTGATAAAACTTCTTTCTTAAGTTTGTTAACCTTTGATTACTTCAATTTGAACTAGAATTGATATCATCACCCCTACTAGTTTTTCTGTCTAACATATTTTGATGTGATATCGAAAAGCTACTCCACAGGGACCTATGGGTATTTACAAAAAACTTTATCAACAACGAACACAAATAATTTATTGGTGATTCATGAGTATTAGTCGGTTAAATGAACCGAGTCAATTACAACACACCATTTTTAAACAATGGAGACTAATTTTTGGACGAACCAACGAGACTACATATAGCACGTCTTGGACTACGGCGCGAAATTCACAAATTCATACGATTAAATGACGTTCTAGTATCATAGTTGGTGCCAGTTTGTAATGAAAATCCTAACTCTAATTCTTCGCACTAATTTATGATCCTCTTTGACTATCAGCAAGCAAATATCCTTGTTTTTCTTGTTAAAATGACCAATTAACCATATAAGATGTGAATACCCTTAATGATATGGGATGAAATACTTCAAGAGGAATTTCTTCTGCTACGCAATCTGTTTTTTCTTATAAAGACTGGACCACATACAGAATTAAGTCAACCCTGGTCTGTTTAAGATACTCAAAAAATTGGGGAGAAATCTAGAAAGCCAGATTATTTATTTAAAGTAATGTATCCAGGTGCTTGAAGGAATTTTGGGATGAAATAAACGTTTATTTTAGAATAAGTGATAATTATGTTGGGAACCAGCGAGAGTATATTCTATGTACAAAGCAACCAAGTATTAGACAACAAATTTTGGATTTTGACGCGAAATTTATCCATCCATTTGGTTAAATAGTTTTAGCATCTTGGCTGTCAGTTCGTGACGGAAACCATAAATCTAGATTATAACCCTGACCAACTGTAGGTCATAACTCTAATTCCTGACACTACCTTATAACCCTCATTTAGTCTTAGTTGGGGTAGACATTCTCGAGGTCAATTTAGCAAAACCCAAAGGTCGTCCGTAAATTAAAGTCTCCCAGGAAAACCCTACTCGGTCATCACTATAGTCGCTGTGGGTACACGTAGCAAAAAACGATGATTCAGAAACCAGTCATGCCATGCAAAAGATATATATTGTTCATAATTTCATTATGTGAATAATGGTATGGTAAGTAGATACTGCGTTACAACGGCCCAATTTCCATTTCATGGATTAAACTTTTATATTTAGGAATGACTGATAGGCTAAACCTGTAAATGGCTAGAAAGTAGTAAATGGTTCACCAAAATTAGTTTCAGAGTTCCAAAAAATTCCCGTCTGTCAAAAGACTAGTACAAGCATAAACCCGGATGAATTGGTCAATTGAATCCTCATATCGATGTTTTGGCCTGCAATCCACCATTCCCTTTATGTATATGTGCGCCACAAATAGAACGAAACGCTCGTGCTGAGTATTACTGCTAGCCAACCACCAACCTCTGGTAATCGAACCGGATGTTTATACACACTATAAAGTAGATCAGAGGTGTAAGCAGACTGTCCTAGTTTTTTATAAATACGTTATTAGCCTATAGATCACCAAACCAAGTGCACAAAATATACCTTAGGTTCTGAAATCAATAATCGTGACTACTTCCATACCAAACATCACATTTTGATCAATTTATTCACATTAAAAAACTGTCTGATAACGTAACCAACCCATTCTCCTTGTTTTGGGGAAACATTAGTAAAACTTTGTAGAAACTGGAATAGAAAACATTCGTGAAATGGCACAAAAACATCAAAATTTCCACAGGTCTGGGGAAAAAATCCCCAACGTTTTGAAGAAATTTTTGGATCTCCCGAACATTTCTACAGAATCTTATAACAATTCGGAGTTTTCACAGAGGTCCCCCCAAAGTTTGGATAAAACTACGATATTTCTTACAACTTTGTGGAAAATCCCGAAATACGGAGATTAGGTAACCAGACAGAAATTTTTAAGGCTTTTAATCTGGCAGTTTGGTTGATACACTTACGCGATCCAAGGATGTTTTGATATGCTCTCTAGCTTTTTGAATTTCTTGTGCCAAAGACCCCGTTTTCTAGAAATGTTAGCGAGAAAATTACAGAATACCAGTGTTTCCGGAGCTTTCGACTGAGTAGACGACGACAGATGAGATACATAAGCTTTCTCAATATCCGGATAGTCAGGAAATGTAACTGTCTGTGCGCCTATAAGTAGACCCGCTTCCATTTCGACCACGCCACTAACAAACTGAATAACCCTCGGTTACTCAATATTCAAAATTCGCCTGGGAACAATTCGAGGCCCATTTCTATTGATCATAAGTATGTGTTAAACGTCATTCCGGCAGCTAGAAAGTGGATAACTGGTATACATAATAAACGTTATGAGAGCTACAATATACATATTACATTATACATTCATGTGAGACTATAATTTATGAACCAACCAATCAGATTTAGAGTAACAGATCTTAAATCTAGGTACAATTCAAACACCCATTTGTCCGAATAGCGTTTAGGCACAATAGCTGATGTCAGTTCGTGATGAAAACCATAAATCTGATTCCGATACTCAACCATTAATTGTAAATCATAATCCTTATTTTTCAAAATGCTTTATAACCCTCATTTAGCACTAGTAAGTAGGTGGATATTCCAAAGGTCATCACGGTGCCGCTCAAGAGCCATCCATAAATTTTCGTATCACCTACACTCAACATTTTATGACAAGTAGGCATACGAACCCATTTCTTTGGAGTTGCAACTTGGTCCGAACAAACAGTTTCAGACATTTAGCTATATTTATATGTGTTTTGATGGTGTCCGATTTGGCAGTTGTTTAGATTGATAAATGAGAGCAAGTTATCTTCTGGACTAAGGAATGTATTTGTAATTATTACGGATAAATCGTTCAGAATCATTCTAAACTAACGATCCGAAATCCATAAACCGGATGTCAAGAATGGTGGGATGCGAAGAAATATTCAAACTCAAAATTATTATTCTGAAATCATTCGGATTGTAGCGGTAGATAAATCCACAAAATAAATAGCTCTGTGAGTTTTCGACATTGGATGCTGACCAGATTAGTTTTAGTGGACTCACCTAACTGAAGGCGCTCGGCCATGCATCCGCACCAGATCACGTGTGGGAACGTCGTGCTCAACATCTACTGCAATCGCTAGCCAGACTAGATCAAACAGTTCCGATATATTGGCAATCGTCGAATACAACTTCTGATCTGCTTGATTCTGTCTTTTGATTCCTCTTGGTGGGTACGAGTTATACTAGAAGGTTCCACCGGTAAAAGCGTTGTCAAACACTGAATACCTGTGTCATCTTCATTGGTGAGCCTAACGTGATCTGGTACAACAAATCGTAAACTGTGAGTCTGTTCCATTTTGGGATTCTATATACCATTGCTTTATTTTAATTTTTCTATACATTGTGATATTTTTTCACGCGGTTTTGGATATCTATATATATTTTTCACTCGTGTATTCTCGTACTTAATTTTCCCCTATGGCTGAACAGACCCCCAAGGTATCTAAGATTAAGACTATGTCCCCACCCTCGTTCCAAAACACGCCCATCTGGCCCGAAAATATCGAAGCCCGGTTCCGCTACGCAGAACCCGACTTCCACGAGCACGATGTGAACGACACACGAGCACAACTCCTCGGAGTAGTCAAGGCACTACCGCGCGAATTCAACAGGTACGTAACACCTAGTATGTCTACTAGTGATGTTTCTCAACCGTACGAAACCTTAAAGCGTCCTATCCTTAAACGAGGAGACCTAACAGATCGACAAAGGTTAGATCAACTCCGTAATAACATAGACCTACAACACGGTTCTGCGGCGGACATGTTGCAAAGGATGAAAGGGGTTATCGGCCTGAGAACTTTCGACAAAGGCCTATTCAAACAACTTTTCCTGTCCAAGCTTCCCCAACAGGTGCAAGCGGTTGTGGTCTCGTTTCAAAACAACGCCTTAGACGAGCTAGCTGCATCTGCCGATCGTATCTCAGAAATTACGAAATCTTCTACTGCCGAGGTTTTTCAGTCTAAGAAAAGCATCAAACGACTCAGAGTGACATAACCAAGTTATGTCACACACTCACGCGTTATCTTAGTCTTCGTAACGACCGTAAGCGTTCACACACCCAGTGTAGAAGCACTTCATATAAGCGATCTGTCTCTAGACCATGAGAGACGGTTAACCCCCAATGGTGTTGGTATCACAACCAGTATGGAAAGTCTCCCAGAAATTGCAGAATATCCTGAAATTTTCCCAGCTCAAAACCCACCGACACGAAAAACAACTCGGGAAACTTCCAAGCCGGCACGTGTTAACGGCAAACGTAGCCGACGAAAACAGCCGTCTGTTATACGTCACAGATGTAATAACGAAAGTTCGCTACCTCGTCGACTCTTGCGCAGAAGTTGGTATTCTTCCAGCAAATTCTCACGATCGTCCTCACGAATCGGTTCTAGACTTACAAGTGGCAAACGGAAATCCAACCACAACATATGGTAAAAGGTACGTTTACATTAACGTGGGTCTACGCAAACCGATACACTGGATTTTCGTTGTTGCAGATGTTTCCATGCCAATCATTGGTATAGACCTGCTACAACACCGAAAGCTACTCATCGATACGCTCAAACGGAGGCTAATAGACGGAAGCACTTATTTATCTGTTTGCGTAACTCCTTTTTCTGATTGCAGATTATCTCCAGTCACAATTGAGCACACGATAGACCCACTTTATCAACCACTACTCGATAAGTATTCTGGGATTCAACAAACACAACCGTGTGTAACCAGCAACGTCACACATCACATCACGACTACAGGACCGCCTGTATTTTCGAAAGCACGACGACTGGCTCCCGAAGAGCTAAGGCTGGCGAAAAACGAATTCGACCACATGATAAACTTAGGAATCATACGACCGTCAAATAGCTCATATGCATCTCCGTTGCACATGGTCCCTAAAAAGGACAGCAACGATTGGCGTCCAACTGATGACCATCGGCGATTGAACGTGAAAACCATTCTTGATCGTTACCCGTTGCTCCCCATTCATGATTTAACAGCTACCTTGGAAGGTACAACTGTCTTTTCGAAAACCGACTTGGTTATAGCCTGTAACTAAATTCCCATGGCCACTGACGACATTCCAAAACCACTATCATTGCTCCTTTCGGTCTTTACGAATTTTTGCTCACGCTCTTCGGCCTAAGAAAAGCTGCCCGAACTTTCCAAAGGTTCATAGATGACGTTTATCGAGGTCTCAAATTCGTACATGCGTATGTTGATGACAGCTTGATTGCGATGCTGGACGGAGGATCTCATCTCCAGCATCTGGATCTTGTTTTCGAACGACCACAAAAGCATGGCGTTTCTGTTAACGTTGAGAAATATCAAATCGGGACTGACTCCCTATATTCATCCGGACACACTGTTGATGCGCAAGGCATCCGACCCCTCAGAACCAAAGTGGAGGCTATTCTGGATTATCCAGAACCGACCACTATTAAGCAATTACACACGTTTAACGGCCTTGTAAGTTTCTATAGACGATTCATACCGAAATGCGCATTACTTATGACACCTCTAACCGACTAACTTCGTAGAAATGTGAAATCCATCAATCTGAACAACACTACACGAAAAGCATTCTCCACAGTTAAGGAACTTATTGCTAAAGCAACAATGCTTGCTCATCAGGACACTGAAGCACCCATTAGTATCGCAGTAGACGCATCCGACTCAGCAATCGGAGGAGTCTTACAACAATGGGTTAACAACTCCTGACAACCTTTGGCATTTTCCTCTAGACGGTTGCTAGACATCGAATCGAGGTACAGCACATTCGGTAGGGAACTCCTAGCTATGTATTGTGCTGTACGGCATTTTCAACACTATATCGAAGGCCGTGAATTTGTAGAATTATGGTCTACTATGATGCTAGTACTACTCTAATAATAGACCTAATCCTAAATTTGTAGATTTGTCATGATATAACTGCCTAATCTATAAGATCTTACGTGGAAGTCACACCATCGACTACACCAACTCACTGTATCGTATCAATTACCAATACATGATGTAGAACAAGGTTAGGCTAGAGAAAGAACAATATATTTAATATGAATAGAAGATATAAAGTAACATTGAGATGGACCACGCCTGCATGGACGAGCCATGCCATCCGATCAAACCCAGTCCATTCAATTCCTTGTTCGCGCCTTCTCCATTGTTAGGTATTTCTCCGCGTTAAATATTGAATATCTATTTTCTGAGTAGTCTCGTGTTCAGCTTTGTGGATTGTGTGGTTATTGTTCAATGCCACTACAAGTTCACCCTTTTCACTGACCATAAACCGCTTACCTTCTCCTGAAGCTCGTCCTCTGACAGGTACCCACTTCATGAGTCTCGACAACTGGACTACATTTCGCAGTTTACTTCAGACATCCAACACATTTCTGGAGCAAACAATGTAGTCGCAGACACCTTGTCTCGCATAACTTCCTTGAACAGTTTCCAAGGAATCGACCTTCTTAAACTCGCCCAGCTTCAAAAAGAAGACACTGATCTTCAGCACGAGTTATCATCTACAACCCTCAAGTTACGCATCAAACAGATGGGAACAGGTAAAGAAACCTTACTATGTGACACATCTACAGGTAGGGCTCGATCAATCGTGCGGAAACATTATCGGCGCAACGTCTTCAATACGTTGCACAAATTTTCTCATCCGGGTGTTCATGCAACCATCAAGCTTATAGCCGAACGGTTTTGCTGGCCTGGCATGAATAGAGACGTGAGGGCGTGGGCACGCTCCTGTGTGAGCTGCCGGAAATCTAAGGTTATCAGACACAATAAATGTCCCTTAGGCTCATTTAAAACTCCCGATGCTCGTTTCGACTATGTTCATCTGGATTTGGTAGGACCTTTACCAGATTCAAGTGGATACTCTTATCTCTTAACCTGCGTAGACCTTTTCACTCGACGGCCAGAAGCAGTACCTATCAAGGGAATCACTGCTGAAACAGTGGCCCGCACCTTCGTCGAACGATGGGTAGCAAACTTCGGCTGCCCTTCAACTATCAACACAGGCCGCGGACGTCAGTTCGAATCTGAACTATTCCGTCGTCTGACCAACCCTTTAGGAATCACTCGCTCCCGAACGACCTCCTACCACCCACAAGCAAACGGGTTGGTAGAACGTTTTACCAACAACTAAAAGCTTCGCCATCAGCTGCAAACGTTTCACAGTGGATCGGCGCTCTTCCACTCGTCTTACTAGGTATTCGCAATGCAGTGAAAGCTGAGATTGGATACACTGCAGCTCAACTCGTTTATGGAACGACACTTCGACTCCCAGGAGAATTCGTGGATCCTTCATTATCTCCAATGAATAAGGATCTCTCCTGCACGAGCAGGCTTACAAACGGAATGCGTTCCACTCGACCGCAGTCAACTGTCGCTTTCAACCTGACTTACGATATAGTACACACGTTTTCGTTCGTCGAGACTCGCATCGATGACTTCTCGAATCAGCATACGAAGGACTTTTCAAAGTTCTTCAGAGCGAACCAAAGCACTATAAAGTCTATAAGAACGGAACCAACGATAGCATCAGCATCGATCGCTCAAAAGCAGCGTATTTAGAAGAAAATCCTATTCACGTCGGTTCCCCTTCTGTACAATCTCACAACACGACTCCTACGCTTATAATACCCCGACCGACAGGCATCACACACGATGACACTTCAATAGTATCAGAAAATAAAATTAAGACGACGCGTTCCGGTAGAAGAGTAAGATTTCCGAACATTCAGACGATTATTGCACGTAAGGCACTACTTGACATTTTACATTATCTCGATTTTTTTACCATATGTAATATTTTTTTGAAAAAAATTATAATATGCTTATATGTTTTTATTTTTATTTCAAAAAAACAAAACAAAAATACATAAAAATCCTTTGTAAACGATATTACGTGTATATGAGATTATTTTCCACTTTTTTCGCCAGTTTTGTATTTTACGCGCGTACGAGGGTATTTCGACACCCACTTACATTATCTTCTTTCTTTTCCAGGACGGCTGGAAAAGAACGATGAAGTTTACGAGGAGCCTAAATTTTCATTGTACTTCTTTTTTTACTATACTGTACTATATGGTCCCACATAGTAAAGAAAGACGACCAGACGCTGCTTAACCTAGCAAGCTATCAGAAGAGTGTTTACCAACGACAAAACTTGTTGGGTTTAATTTTCTGGCTGGCCACGTCTTAGGGTCATCACTAACCCACTAAGGGGTAGGGATCTGTGGCGATAAATAAATCCACAAAATAAATAGCTCTGTAAGTTTTCGACATTGGATGCTGACCAGATTAGTTTTAGTGGACTCACCTAACTGAAGGCGCTCGGTCATGCATCCGCACCAGATCACGTGTGGTAACGCCGTGCTCAACATCTTCTGCAATCGCTAGCCAGACTAGATCAAACGATTCCGATATATTGGCAATCGTCAAATACAACTTCTGATCTGCTTGATTCTGTCTTTTGATTCCTCTTGGTGGGTACGAGTTATACTAGAAGGTTCCACCGGTAAAAGCGTTGTCAAACACTGAATACCTGTGTCATCCTCAGGAATATATACTGACTAATCTTCGTAGAGGAGGTCAAGGTTGATGCTTTCCAACTTTATTTGAGGCAGATCGTCGAAGAAACACCTTCGCCTAAGATTGCGACCAACAAAAGCAAGAAGGCAAGAGTCAATATATAGAATTCGATTAATTCAACGTGTATGTTAGATGTTGACGAAGCTGCGGAATCTAGTCACTGCCTCACTAATTATAAGGACCTGATCATCCTGATGGGACACCTGAACATCCAAGTCGGAATAGACAACATCAAACACGAAGATATCCTAGGACTACATGCACCAACTGGGAGAAAACAACAAGGATGACGAGAGGTTCGCAAACTTGTGTGTGCATTCAACAAAATGGTTATAGGTGACCTTGTATTTCTCCACAGACACATACACATAGCTGCATGGGTCTCTCCTGATCACTCTACAGAGAACCAAACTGATCATATCTGCATCACTAAAATATTCAGAAGATTCATGGAAGAGATGAGAACCAGGAGAGGAGTTGACATGGCCTCAGGTCACCATCCGGTGGTTACCAAAATGAACCTAAAGCTGAAAGAGCACTGAACAACTGAATAACCAGTATTAAATAGGTTCAATACAGCCTTCCTTCGACATACTGTTAAACTCAACAACAGGTTCCAAGTTTTACAAGATCTACTCAAAGAAGAAGAAACCACTATGCAGGACAACTGTAAAGAAACCGAAGATGCACTAACGTCAACGTGTCAGCAAGTTTTGAACCGCAAGAAGCATCATCGTAAGAAATAGATCTCTATCAAAATCATTGACACAATTCAAGTAAGGAAGTACAAAAAACAGCAATTTACAACAGCCAAACAAGACAGCAGAAAATCACGACACAGATCAAATACACAGAAGCAAACAAGTAAGTGGAGAGGAGCACTAGAGACGATAAGCAGAAATACATCGAAAACCTAGCAACAACAGTGGAAAAAGCTGCTGCATAAGAAAATATGTAACAACTATATGACACAACGAAGAAACTGACAGGGAAACCAGAATGACCTGTCATGGACAAAGAAGGTAAGTCAAGCACTCAGACTCAAGAATAGAGGAACAGGTGGGTGGAACACTTTGAAGAACTCTTGAATAAACTAACCTCACTGAACCCAATGGACATTGAAGCGCTACACACAGGCCTTCCTATAACTATCACTCCACCAACAATCGGCATGGCCAACCCAATCACATTTGATGGAGAAGCTCTAGAAGAGGTGGAGACTTTCATGTACCTGGACAGTATCAGTGATAAGCATGGAGGACCCGATGCGAATATAAAGCCAAGAATTAGCAAAGCAAGGGCAACATTCCTACAACTGAAGAACATATGTGACTCAAAACAACTAACAATCAATATCAATATCGAGAACCACTACAACCATCATCAAAACAGAGCAAGTATTTATAAACAATTGTGAGCTCGTCATCAGTGGAATCAATAATTCTGTGAGTCTCTTGAGTTAAATGCATGACAGACTCGTATTTCGAACTTTCAAGTCAAGAATATCAGAAATTCATACAGTGATTTTACTCCATCGAAGGATGTATTATACAACAAAAAAGCATTAAAAACCAAAATATTTCGCTTACTATTCACTCACTCACTTTAGTTGGGTCATGATACCATGCCCCATCAATGAAATACTTATATTGATGAATACCAGGTTTACAATCAATAATTACGTAAACTCCTGAGTTTCTAAGAAAAATAACACAATAAGAATAAGGGACAAAATAACAGAAGAAAATTTAGTTATATATAGTCAGTCATACGCAACAAAGAACCTGTCGAATGTACACATCAGTTCAAGTTGTCACACCATCATAATACAGAGGCGTAATTATTAAGAAAAATGTACCAGTTCTTGTCATTGTCAATCTATTTTCGGGCATCGAATATGTCATTCTAACTCAATCAATCCTAGTTTAATAAGGTAGTTTGTATAAATCTATTCGATCTGAAATTTTTCCTAAATAAGACATTAACTAGGGCATCATCACTGAAAATCAGAAAGCAATGACCAGCTATTTTAGGCTAAACTTTGGTACTCCCGTGGTGTGTGCTACTGATGTCGATAGACATAAGTAGTATGTATCATCAGTTGAAAGTGAAATACCTGGCAGCAGATTTAAAAAATTAAGGAAAAGAGAACGAGAACAGAGAATGATTGATGTAGAAACGAAGGAACAATGAAGTCTGAGACGATTGACTGATATTTTGCAAATGAAGTATTTACTGTATGGTTCTTATATTTTACACTTAGATTTACACTCCCCGTCTTCCCTTAAAATAAGAACTACGGCTTATAGTTAGGCACTAATTTCATTCTAAAGTGAGTGACCTATTGTTGTCATATGTTTTAGTCGTTTATTTATTACATGATTTCTAGTCACCTTTACTTTTGTGTTAATATTTGTGTGGAAGCATGTTATCTTATTACAACGAGAAGCCTATTTTAATAGAAAGCGATCTTGTTTAAGATTTATGTCAATAATTCAGTTTCATAAACCGACATCCGTTGACCACTTCAACTATCAATCAGCATTATTTTATTTTATTTCAGCGACCGAAAATTTATTCACAAAATCGTAACTAATAACATTATTTGAACATATAAATATTGGTACAAAGGGGTACCGAATGCATATTAGCCACACAGGTCACTTGGTTTGCAGGTGTGCTGTGATATTGCACGGGTGCCCAGACCGACACAAATGGTCTTCTTAGGGGGCCACACCCCGAGCCTTCGACCTAAAGGTCTGACTCACAAGACGGTGAAGCAACGTCAGCAGATGAAGTCCCATAGTAGTCGGTGACCAATAATTGGTTCATATGCCATTTGTTCCCTCAGGGTAATGGAGGCCATGTGCACCAATGCTTTTGAATCAGGGTTTTCCAACTCCCCTAGGTGGACTCTCCGTGTCCACCTTCCCGATTGAAGTGCCAGACATTCGCTTTTCGTCCTCTCAATTTCGTAAGCAACAGTAATGCCGCGAGAAGGCAGTGAGTAGGACTTCCCTGGCAGAGGCTATATACGCGTGGCCATGTGAGAGCATTTGGAGAGGGAGAGCGAACTATCCTCACTCTCGGCCGTACCAGAGCATTTGGTGGCACAATAATGAATATGAAAAACTGACTTTTACCCACGTAATTATACATATATAGCTTACCATAACACAAAGCATTTTATAATTATGAATGGTTACAAAGCATAACATAAGTATTTAAACTGTTAAAATGTTAAGATTAGTGTACTTGAATTAATAATGGATTATAATAGTTCTTTTCAAAAAAACAATCCCATTAATATCACTTTTCAATGTCTATGATACTTATTAATAGTTTTTTTAGAAGAAACAACTGATTAATATACTTAAAAAGTCAATGTCAACAAACTGACTACTTATAATATGGATGAATTGATTAATGTAAGTTGAATAGCGATTATGCGGTAAACAATGTTAAGGTAAATAAAACGCAGACTATATACTTCGTTTTAAAAAAATATTTATGTTTCAATCAAGAATTTCTGCCGACATATTTATCAATCTTATTTTGACAGGTATAGAAGTGAGTTAACAAAAATGTAGAAGTGACCAAATCAAAACATGGTATCAGTTCATGAAGTCAAGGATTATCGATTTGAGCTAATGTTGGTTGGTATTCACGCGATAACTTTCATCAGTGATTGAAGACATTAGTTAATATGAATCAGAATCAGTTATAATGGGACAGAGGCATTCACTCTTTATTTTCTTTTAGATCTCGTGTACTAGTAACCCAGCATGCATACCTTTTCATTCCGCCTTTCCCAATCATATTCTCAATATTTATTCCTTCTTATTACCATTGTTATTACATTATTTCGACTACTTTACCATTCAATTTGTTACACATAACCGATTGCTTTATATTCATAATAAAATAATAATGAATCAAAACTCATTTATTCAGAATAGAATATATATGAGCATCATTTAACACATAATACTTACATTTCATAACCTTGACACCATTATAACCTCTATAATGTTATGATTTATAGTTATTGGAAAATTTGCTACTACCATCATTATCATTATTATCATTTTGAGATCTTATATTCACTAAAGTGATAGATGACTTCAATGTATCGTAACAAAAAATAACAACATATTGAAATTATTGTTTAGCTAACTAGGCTAGAAAAATTATTTAAACACTAGGAGATACTTTAATTAATCTGGTATTGCAAACATCAGAATTCCAATAGGAAAGAATCAAATTACCAAGCATCACTGCTGAGGAGTCCCACAATGGGACGAAACGGCCGTCCAATGCTTCCAGGTTTTCCATGGTGGTCTAGCTTCAACTGACTTATGATCTTAACCATCCAAATTACTATAATATCCACAAAACCCATCTGACATTTTAAATTTGTCGAACTCAACTAATTATATGATGTGAAACTAAATTTTCTATTGTCCGATTAAGGCTTAACGGTATCGATCGGTCTTCATTAATTGGTTAGATTCATATAATTCGAACAAATATTTTCGGTAACAGTCTCTTCTTCTGATACATTGATGAAATTTGCTATCATAAACTAACAGAATGATTATCCAGTGTCCTAATAATCTGACCTGATAAAATTTACTGATCATTTGTCATTTAATCGCATAATGGCTGGATTCAAACATATTTGATTGCATAAAATATATGGAATGTGGTTAGTAATGAAATCGAGGACGCGCATTTAGTCCTATTTGGGTGTACCTGAATATATACCAACTAAGATTCCAGTCAAAATATAAACAATGCGATAGTCCAAAGGATTACAAATTAGATTAAAATCCAAACCCGTTGCATAAGTGAGTGGCTACCGGACTCGTTAGCCAATTGGATAATGGGTTAGCTTTTGAAACTAAAGGTAATAGATTCAAGTCTTAGAATGAACAACAATTATAGAATACAGATGCATGTGGCTGAGGAGCCCCAAATAGAATGAAACGCGCTTCCAGGATTGTACTGCTAGCCACATTCTATCTACTCTATACAAACTTGTGTCACGATTGGCTATATCGAGACAATTCTCACAGGATTTACATATATCAACTAAAACTGACCAAATTCCAGTCAAGTTATCAACAACGGGATAATCAGGACAATTATAAATGAACTTAAATTTGATTATGATATAAAACAGGTGTAAAATAACATTCCTTTTTATTATAATACAAGAACAAAATGTACTAAAAAGAGATATTTATTTCACAAAATAAATTACCTTTTAACCATAGGGATTCTTTTCTCCCAATTATTAAAAGTTCCACTAATATATATATCTTTACCACCACCATTCCATCGAAAAACAGTAGGAAGTTTTAAGCCAACCAACTTTCTGGATGGCAAAGTTCTTGCACGATCTCTTGAAACGTTATTTAAAATGATTTGTGGTTGACTATGCTTATACATTATTTGTTCATCTGTTGAATATAATGGACCTGCACTAGATGGTCTTTCTTGAAGAAAATTGGAAATTTTCTCATCACCACTAGAAATTGTTGACGTTACCATTTTGTCAGATGGTAGCACATTGTATAACCGATTATTACCATCAAGATTATCATGAGCATCGATTATATTGATAGGTTCACGTAGACTGGTAGCTCGCATCATTGACGTAGCTTCATCAATTGAGATTGCATCTTTGTCATTAGGACTAACATTGTCGTCATTTACTGACATTTCATTATTAGGATAATCGGCTGGAGCAGAACGTGATAAATCCTAAGAGAAAAATTAGGTAATGATAATAATACTATCGTGTATAGTTTAAATTAGACACCACAAAATAGCCAGATATATTTGATCGATTTCAACTCTTTTTTGTAAAACTGAATTAGGTCAAATTTTGAAATAAAAGTACTGGTTACTCATGATGTATATACACGTACATATATAAGAGATTATCCAATCGACTGTAAGAAAATGTCACATCAAAAATCTATTTTTAGTGAAGTTGTTCAGGTCACTTTAAAGAAATGAACAACCAAACAACTGAATAGTGATCACTGATTAACTGGAATTAAAAGGTGAATTCTTTGGTCTTGTTAATGATAAAAAAAACGAAACGTACATCCGTAAATCACGGATTGGAGGGGGGTGCGGACGGACAATTAAAGTCACTCATGAAAGTTGACTAGCTAGAACTAAAACTGAAGTGTGCAACAATGCTTGTAGAGGTAAACAAAAGAAAACAATAAAAAATTAAGATTTATTCCTAACCCATAAACAATAATTCATTTAACCGAGACCATACTAGATTATACATCTATTATTCGACAGAATGAGGAATTAACGACTAATTAGGCATTTTCTTCTTGTGGGTTGTCCAATTTATTAGCACAATTAAACGAGTTCCAAATGAACATGACCAATAATTTACTAAGTTGATCGTGTAGTTTTTGGTGTTTAGCATTTGGTTTCTTTGGATAAAATTGACAACCCAGATTTTTCTCGGGAAACGTAAGTACCGTAAAGTCAAGACAGTGAAAGCATCCGCTATGAGCGTAGAAGACATAAACAGATTGCGATCAATTGATTATAAGTGTATTTATGGTATTGCTTGTGTATGATGGAGCTATCGTGTAAGTGATGAGGTAAGGTTTAAGGCATTAGGTAGGAAAGATAAGCTGATTGATGAAGCATTAGACTTTCGTCGATTCACGTGATTGAGATGTGCTACCGATATCTAGCCACTGCCAATGAAATGAGTAATAGTGACTAGTATGGGAGTAGGCTTGGAGAAAATGAATGGCAACCAAGCGAAGAAATAACATCGCTTCGTGAAGTTTGTGTGCGTAGATTTAAACTCTGTGTTTAGGACTGGAGATATAGTCATAATATTTAGCCGTAGACATTTGGTAACACGGTTTAAAATCAGTTGCAATAGCATCCGTGCATATATCTATATGAAAATATTGGTATAGAAACGGGCTAGAGCACATGAGTTGTGACTGGCCGGTTAATCTCAGTATCATTAAATGCTTCACGTTTTTTCTATTTTATTTGTCCTTTTTTAAGCTGGTGTTTCTGTATTTAACCTTACACGGTGGTTCATATTACTTGCTCTTTTTTGCTTCTCTTTGTATTTTTTTCGGTTTTCTCACTTCTCCGAAATGAGGTTTTCCAAATGTGATATATATGCATTTAGGCCAGATCCTAAATTGTCCACGAGTGGCTGGATCTAAAAAGACTGATGGTATCACGAAAGAGAATCACCAAAAGAAACTAAAAACATCCCATGCAAAGATTTAGTCCGAGGCTCTTTAGTAGCATACAAATTCGATTAGCCATATAAGAATGAACTGATAAGTCTCATATCTTTATTTTTAACTATACATTAGTTGTTTGGTAACGACTTGATGGTTAACATTGCTAGCACCATTTCTTTTATAATGCGACACAACTACGTATCATGGTTGATAAGTATTTAATCTAATTCTATACTTGTTTCGCTCAGAAGTTTACATCAAAGTAAACAATGAACATGACTATATATCATAAGCCACTCATAAATAATCTAAGCATTTTGTTTCACTATAGAACATAAAATCATTCAAGCTTGCTCACCAACCTAATTGCTAACGAATATTTACACAATATAAACAAGTTATCAACCTATTGAAAGGGCAATGAAAAGTTACTTACTGTCAAACTATGAGTATTTCGTTTTTTCGGTGGAGGGATAGTAACACTGACACCAGGTGGTGTTGAGTTAGGGAGTCTGCCACAAACGTCTCCAGAAAAGCGTCTTTTATAGTGAGTCGGAGTATTCCCCATAATTGAGTATACACAGATTTACAAATTATTTCGAAATCTACAGAAAGATTTAACAAAGGCACTTATATAATATTTGATTCACGATAACAGTAAGAGGAAGAGGAAATGCCACGTAAAACAGCAGCTTGATGGGTGATGTGAAATAGAGTCGAGAGAGGTGATTGAGACACGTTAAATACATCTAATAATCGTCTATCTAAACATGTATGCTTTCTGGAGTGGGAGTAAATACGACAAAAATGTCTCAAGGCACTTAAATTAATGACACACTCAATAAATTTCCATCAGAAATATATATAGGGGTTTCTTGACTTTATAATTCATATCTACGAAATAGCGGAAATGAATCATCAGGGAAATTAGGCTACGTAGACCAAGTCACCCTCACCGATAAAGAATAATCTATTGCCAAATTTCTCCTGAAGGTTAATACTTTATTGTAGTTTTTCTGTGTGCTATATTTACTTATTAAACTTAGTTTTTCTTATTAACTTAGACACAAACATTGACACAAGGAGGCACCAAATAAACCACTCGATTTATGTGAAGGCTGGGATAATTCACGAGTGCAGTTAATTTTAATTCTTTTATTAATTTCCCGTTCACTATGAATTCTCCCATAGTATACGATAATTAGGTAAATATCCACGTATTTACTTTGACAAGTATATTATTGAGTACAAAGATTAGTACAGAGTGATCAGGTGAAACCCATGTAGCTTTGTGTGTGTGTTTGTGGGGAAATTCAGGGTCACCTATAACCATTTTGTTGAATGCACAAAAGTTCGTAAACCTCTCGTCATCCTCATTGTTTTCTCCCAGTCGGTGCATGTAGTCCCATGATATCTTCTTGTTCGGTGTTGTCTATTCCGACTTGGATGTTCAGGTGTCCCATCAGGATGATCAGGTCTTTTCCTGAACACTTCTCCACAACCGATTGCTGTTTCTTGTAACACTTATCTTTGTCATCTGCATTCCTATCATTGGTGGGTAAATAGCAGTGGATAACATTCATCATGATTCCCTACTTCTTTGTTTTAAAGGATGCTTTGATGATGTTGAATCCATGAGATTCGTATCTTATAAGTACTTCTTGTGATTTTTTGAGCAGTGTCAGAGCAACTGTCTGATTGTGCGGAGCATTTGCTTCTTCATGTCTAGAGTACAGCAGCATCTTACTCGAATCTAGCCTTTTTTGTCCAGCTTCAGTCCAATGGTTTTCACTGAATGCGAGCACCACCAAGTTGTATCTCCTCAGTTCCGTAGCTATTTGATTTGTCCTCCGACACTGTCCGGACATTAGGTGTACTTTCATTAGTTGTCTCTCTGGTTGTTAGAAGAAACATCGGCCTTGTGACTTCCAAAGTATCTCTGCTTTCACTCTGAGGAGTCAGAATTCTTCTGCATAAAGATCCTTTATCTCTAGGTCTTGATCTTGTACTGTTTCTTTTTCTAGCGCTCGTATCACCATATCGTAAGCGATCGCGTAGTTGTGTCGTGTGATGTCTGAGGTTTATGGTTGAAACTGAAGGCCGGTGGTAATAAACATAGAAACTGTGGAGACGTTTATGCTTTTTTGTTCTTTAGACTCTTGTAATTGACATCGTACCATCATTCTTGTACCAGTGGGTTGACTTACTGTAACTAATGAATAAACGGGTTCCTGTACAATTGTCTATTCACTAATTCTGGTTCGGCAGTTGGAGATAGTTAATTATACTGTGCTTCGTCTTCTGTAAGGTCGTCGATATTTCAACCGCGACATTTGGTTTCAAAAATAAAGTGTCATAATTCTTCCAAATGAAGATGCTTAAACCACCAGGTCAGAGTTTCAGTGGTTTAAGTTATTCTTTCTGGTTACGGTTATTTTATTGAGGTTATATTCCGCGAGATAGGGTTGCTATTCCATGATAATTAGAAGTATATGAATTATCGTACAGACTAGGGATCCCAGAAATAACGCAATGGGATCAAGAAGTACTAGATAAGAGCGGACCAATGTACTGTATTAGGGATTCGAAATCAAGCATTCAACAAGTTCAAAGGAACCATTAGTTCATTCAAACACCACATCCGCCGCTGCTTAAATTGAAATCTAAGTGTCTGTAATCGATCGTACGTCTTCTTAAGTTCATCCTGTGCCTGTCCGGTAGTGTATTGGATAAAGACTCTGCATTATCTAGAATGTACTCATTAGCATTAGAATTAACAATCGAAATTGAAACAGACTCACCTGGTTGCTGGAATAGTATTTGGTCAACATGTCGGTTGTGTGTACTTAGATCACTGATATTTAGAACTTGCACCACGAATTTTCCAATCTTCTTCAGCACAATCCCCGTGGATGGTCGAAGATCATTTCTACGATAATGTGTTACTTCTGCAGACTCCAAATACCTCATATTCGAACGAAGAATTCTTCCTTTTAATAGCTTTGGTGAAGTCTCTTTTGTCACAGAATGTTTAGCACTTCTACATTGCAGTAGAAAAGTATCTACTCCCCTCCCCAACTCATTAAATGTCGAAGTGGCAATAGAACCAATGGAAGTTTTCATTGTCCTGACAAAATTTTCTGCCTGACCAATAAAACAAGGATGTCTGTGAGCAGTAAACAGTTGTTTGCACCCTATACCATTCAACCAGGTATTGACCGCATCCGCAGCAAAATGAGAGCCATTATCGGTAACTAACATCACGGGGACCCCTCCACGACTAAATACCTTTCTTAATGCCTGGATTGTGAGGTCAGAATTTGGTGAAGTTGTGAAAGAAACGCCAGGCAACTTTGAAAAATAATCAATGAATACAAGCACATAGTGTTTGCCAAGAAATGGACCACAATAGTCTGCATGAATACCCTGTCAGGCCTCAGACGATACTGGCCGTGAAGTCAACTTCAAAGGTTGATTTTTCAACTTATGACATTTTTCAGAATTGTTTTCTGTACGACATATACCTGCATTTATCACTGGCCATCAACATGTGATCCTTGCAAAAGACTTCATTTTCTCAACACCTAAATATCCAATATGAAGATCTTTAAGGACAGATTCATGCAATGACTGGATGTGTCCTACCTTACCACATTTAAAACATTTAGCACTACGAAATGCACATGAATTACGAAAATGAAGTTTACCAGACGATAAACAGCTACCAAACTTGATCTCACCTTTGTGATTTGCTTTGTAATTCCTTTTTGAAATACATTTCATATTTGTACGAGAATAGGAATCACTATTAAAAGAACGCAAGTTTGACCGACCCTGAGATTGTATTTCATCATGACGACTAAGCAAAGTGCTAGAAAATTTCATCGACTGGACATCAAGTTCATTCACCACCTCGTAGTTAATACATACAGTTCCAGCATCTTGAAAGGAACAGTTCGGCAGTCTTAACAGCTCTCTTTACAGAGCCGATATGTTGATTCCTGCAATTAATCGGTCTCTCAATTGCCGAAAGAAAATCGAAATGGATAGGGTTTCCTTCTAAATACGCTGCTTTTAAGCGATCGATGCTGATGCAATCGTTTGTTGCGTCCTTATCGATTATATAGTACTTAGATTCACGTTGAAGAACTTTGAAAGGTCTCTCGCATACTGATTCGAGAAGTCATCGATGCGAGTCTCGACGAACGAAAACGTGTGTACTATATCGTAAGTCAGGTTGAAAGCGACAGTTGACTGCGGTCGAGTGGAACGCATTGCGTTTGTAAGCCTGCTCGTGTAGTAGAAATCCTTATTCATTGAAGATAATGAAGGATCCACGAATTCTCCTGGGAGTCGAAGTGTCGTTCCATAAACCAGTTGAGCTGCAGTGCATCCAATGTCAGCTTTCACTGCATTGCGAATACCTAGTAAGACGAGTGGAAGAGCGCCGATCCACTGTGAAACGTTTGCAGCTGATGGCGAAGCTTTTAGTTGTTGGTAAAAACGTTCTACCAACCCGTTTGCTTGTGGGTGGTAGGCGGTTGTTCGGGAGCGAGTGATTCCTAAAGGGTTGGTCAGACGACGGAATAGTTCAGATTCGAACTGACGTCCGCGGTCTGTAGTGATAGTTGGAGGGCAGCCGAAGTTTGCCACCCATCGCTTGACGAAGGCGCGGGTCACAGTGATGTCCTTGATAGGTACTGCTTCTGGCCGTCGAGTGAAACAGTCTACGCAGGTTAAGAGATAAGAGTATCCATTTGAATCTGGTAAAGGTCCTACCAAATCCAGATGAACATGGTCGAAACGAGCATCGGGAGTTTTAAATGAGCCTAAGAGACATTTATTGTGTCCGATAACCTTAGATTTTCGGCAGCTCACACAGGAGCGTGCCCACTTCCTCACGTCTCTATTCATGCCAGGCCAGCAAAACCGTTCTGCTATAAGCTTGATGGTTGCACGAACACCTGGATGAGAAAATTTGTGCAACGTATTGAAGACGTTGCGTCGATAATGTTTCGGCACGATTTATCGAGCCCTACCTGTAGATGTGTCACACAGTAAGGTTTCTTTACCTGTTCCCATCTGTTTGATGCGTAACTTGAGGGTTGTAGATGATAACTCGTGCTGAAGATCAGTGTCTTCTTTTTGAAGCTGGGCGAGTTTAAGAAGGTCGATTCCTTGGAAACTGTTCAAGGAAGTTATGCGAGACAAGTCGTCTGCGACTACATTGTTTGCTCCAGAAATGTGTTGGATGTCTGAAGTAAACTGTGAAATGTAGTCTAGTTGTCGAGACTCATGAGGTGAGTACTTGTCAGAGGACGAGCTTCAGGAGAAGGTAAGCGGTTTATGGTCAGTGAAAAGGGTGAATTCACGGCCTTCGATATAGTGTTGAAAATGCCGTACAGCACAATACATAGCTAGGAGTTCCCTACCGAATGTGCTGTACCTCGATTCGATGTCTAGCAACCGTCTAGAGGAAAATGCCAAAGGTTGCCAGGAGTTGTTAACCCATTGTTGTAAGACTCCTCCGATTGCTGAGTCGGATGCGTCTACTGCGATACTAATGGGTGCTCGGGTGTCCTGATGAGCAAGCATTGTTGCTTTAGCAGTAAGTTCCTTAACTGTGGAGAATGCTTTTAGCGCGGTATCGTCTAAATTGATGGATTTCGCATTTCTACGAAGTTAGTCGGTTAGAGGTGTCATAAGTAATGCGCATTTCGGTATGAATCGTCTATAGAAACTTACAAGGCCGTTAAACGTGTGTAATTGCTTAATAGTGGTCGGTTCTGGATAATCCAGAATAGCCTCCACTTTGGTTCTAAGAAGTCGGATGCCTTGCGCATCAACAGTGTGTCCGGATGAATATAGGGAGTCAGTCCCGATTTGATATTTCTCAACGTTAACAGAAACGCCATGCTTTTGTGGTCGTTCGAAAACAAGATCCAGATGCTGGAGATGAGATCCTCCGTCCAGCATCGCAATCAAGCTGTCATCAACATACGCATCTACGAAGTTGAGACCTCGATAAACGTCATCTATGAGCCTTTGGAAAGTTTGGGCAGCTTTTCTTAGGCCGAAGAGCGTGAGAAAAAATTCGTAAAGACCGAAAGGAGCAATGATAGTGGTTTTGGAATGTCGTCAGTGGCCATGGGAATTTAGTTATAGGCTATAACCAAGTCGGTTTTCGAAAAGACAGTTGTACCTTCCAAGGTAGCTGCCAAATCGTGAATGTGGGGAATGGTTTTCGCATTCAATCGCCGATAGTCACCAGTTGGACGCCAATCGTTGCTGTCCTTTTTAGGGACCACGTGCAACGGAGATGTATGTGAGCTATTTGACGGTCGTATGATTCCTAAGTTTATCATGTGGTTGAATTCGTTTTTCGCCAGCCTTAGCTCTTCGGGAGCCAGTCGGGGTGCTTTCGAGAATACAGGCGGTCCTGTAGTCGTGATGTGATGTGTAACGTTGCTGGTTACACACGGTTGTGTTTGTTGAATCACAGAATACTTATCGAGTAGTGGTTGATAAAGTGGGTCTATCGTGTGCTTAATTGTGACTGGAGATAATCTGTAATCAGAAAAAGGAGTTACGCAAACAGATAAATTAGTGCTTCAGTTTATTAGCCTCCGTTTGAGCGTATCGATGAGTAGCTTTCGGTGTTGTAGCAGGTCTATACAAATGATTGGCATAGAAACATCTGCAACAACGAAAATCCAGTGTATCGGTTTGCGTAAACCCACGTCAATGTAAACGTACCTTTTACCATATGTTGTGATTGGCTTTCCGTTTGCCGCTTGTAAGTCTAGAACCGATTCGTGAGGACGATCGTGAGAATTTGCTGGAAGAATGCCAACTTCTGCGCTAGTGTCGACGAGGTAGCGAACTTTCGTTATTACATCTGTGACGTATAACAGACGGCTGTTTTCGTCGGCTACGTTTGCCATTAACACGTGCCGGCTTGGAAGTTTCCCGAGTTGTTTTTCGTGTCGGTGGGTTTTGAGTTGGGAAAATTTCAGGATTTTCTGCAATTTCTGGGAGACTTTCCATACTGGTTGTGATACCAACACCATTCGGGGTTAACCGTCTCTCGTGTTCTAGAGAGAAATCGCTTACGTGAAGTGCTTCTACGTGTGGTATGTGACCGTTTATGGCCATTACGCAATCTGAGAATACATGTGAGCGTATTTAATAGTCCGTTAATGTCATTCGGTGTCGCTTCAGGTTTTTCTTTGACTGAAAAAGCCTCGACGTTAGAGAGTTTGGTGATCTCTTAGATTCGATCGGCCGATGCAGCCAGCTCGCCTAAGGCGTTGTTTTGAAACGAGACCAGTACAGCTTGTATTTGTTGAGGAAGTTTATATAAGAAAATTTGTCTGAATTGGCCATCATCGAAAGTTCTTTGACTAATTACTTCTCTCATTCCTAGCAACATGTCTGTCGCAGAACCATGTTGCAGGTCGATATTATTAAGAAGTTGATCTAAGCTCTGTCGATCTGTTAGACCTCTGCGTTTAAGTATAGATTGCTTAAGTGTTTCGTAGGGTTCCGCAACATCACTAGTGAATATGCTAGTTGTAACGTCCCTGTTGAATTTGCCTTGACTACTGCGAGGAATTGTGCTCGTGTGTCGTTTACGCCGTGCTCATGGAAGTCGGCCTCTGTGTAGTAGAACCAGGCTTCGATGTTGTCTGGCCAGAAGGGTATTAATTGAAGAGAAGGTGGGGACATAGTCTTTGACTTAAGCACCTTAGGTGTCTGATCCGTCATGGCGAAATATCAAGTACAAGAATGGACGACAAAATATATATCCAAAAACACGGTAATAAATATCACAATGTATAAAAATTAAAATAAAGCAATAATATATTAAGTCCCAAAAAGGAAAAGACTCATAGTTAGCAATTTGGTGTACCAGATCTCGTTGGGCTCAACAGTGAAGATGCCGCAGGTATTAGAGTCTGACAACGCTTTGACCAGCAATACCTTCTACTCTGAATGGTACGCACCAAGTGAAATCAAAAGACAGAAGCGAGGAGGTTTGAAGATATATTTGACAGGTAATCAATATATTGAGGGTTGACTGATCTAGGCTGGCTAGCGATCGCAAATTGTCTAAACTATCCATCTTACTTACTTACGCCTGCTAATCCTCGTAGAGCATAAGGCACTGAATGGAATTCTCCAACCAACGCATCATCAGCAATAAAAGCGTTCCACACTAGATCGCCGGGTCGTCTGGTGGTGACACGTATCTAGTACTGGATACAACACCTTAAACCAGAGATTGCACACTAAAACTAGCAAGGCCAATAATAATTCCGGGTGCTAATAGAACTACTTACTTTCGGAAATTATTTTACACAGCCTTCTTATTCGAATGTCATACGGTTGTCAAAGCTGTGTTGAACATAATTCTATCGAGCTTGAGGGAATTTCGGCATCATATCCATACTGTTCTAAAACACTTAGCTGCAAACGTATATTATTTGGTTTGGCATGTGCAAGTGCTTCTGATGAGTAGTAGTTCAATTTCCAGCGAAAACTATGTAAATAATCACAATCAGCGCGTCACCAACTAACCAATGAGAATTCAGCGCTCCCTTCAATTTCTATCCCATCCACAACCAGTGTGGGAGTGGGGTAGTCGCGCTCATATTTAGTAAGCTTTAATTCTGCGTGTTTTCTTTATTTTTAGGAGATCTATCTATACCTGGTTACAAAATACACCATTTAAAAAGGTCCGGTTTTCTTTTTCTTTACGTGGGATGGACTACGCACTGATTTCGCTTATAAACAAATTTAATTTCATTGACATAGGACTAAATGGTCCTCACGGGATATAGCTTATAAGCTACAAGCGGGCTCAGCATTTTAACAACGGTTCAGTCTTTCATTTTTGTCAGTTGGATTTGTTTTTTAACTGGTATTCGTTCTCAATATTGATTACAGTACGAATTATTTGTTCTCCAAATTTCACTGTATTGTATGTAATTAGGCTACTAGCTCTCTTTTCTATCGAAGGCTGTACACGCGTTTGTAACAGCGAATACGATGTTTAGATCATATAGTCTATGTGAATGAGGTTAGGAACGACTAGTTTTATAGTTATCTATTTGTCTAAACATTTAAGCCTAAACTTAACATGTCTCTTATAAGTTCTGAATTTCGCTATTAGTGACAATAAAACTACACGAATATTGGTCACCAAATCAGTTATACCCCTCTTCTGTCATTGGAATTTACGATATTCACCTTGTACAGTTTACTCCATTGAACATACTATATGTATTTCCCATAAATTGTAGAGCATAGTGACAGTTAATTTATGTCACTCAAGTGGACGGAGACAGCTAAAAATGTTCAGAACTTATGCCAAATTCATGTTACCGACTATTGCTATTGATTAATCAGAATCTATAATTGCAACGAAGTTACCAGGTTCCGGGCTATAATGTTCATTTACATACTTTGCATTTCGCTCTGTATTCGAAATACTTTTCTACTGTGTATTTTGTGTACCTTATGACCATAAAACTCCAGCCTAATTTATCAACATGTACAATAGAAACTACTGGTTATTTCACTGTAAAAGTGATATTTCTTGTCCTCACAAACAAACTTCGTTGTCATAGACTGAGAATAACGCGACTGATTTAATTTAGGCTTGAATATATCTTAAATTGATTCAATTCATATATATATATATATATATATATATATATATATATATATATATATATATATACTTCTAGCTTAGTCTAACGGATTTCATTTTAGTAGTTTGAAGGTCATCATCCCAACATTATCATCGTTTTCCATAGATAGGAGACAAAAAATTCAAAGCACAAGTTAGTCTTCAGAATGACTGTCAAGTTGTCGTTCGATGGTGTAATCCCTTTACTCACAGCCGATGGAACACGCTCCACCTTTACAACACTAACTCGGTCACCAAATGTACTATCGTGTAATTAGCTTTAAACCATACGTCCTGTGTATGGGCTATTTCTGTCTCAAAAGTAGGCTAGGGGGATAGAAATTTGTAATTTAATATATGAGAGTCGTGTTTTAACCACTAGTTCACCGCTAAATGCTCCAAGCTTCGTTCAATAGTTAGTATGTGAATCCTGACTTCTGTAACAAAATCAGATAATTTGATTTCCGAACCTATAATGTAATATTTAAAAGTTGAGTGCTTTATTTACTTAGCCTTCATTATCTCGGTTTTATACTATATCACACACTGACAATAACATTGTTGTGCATAAATTCAATCATTCCACTTAAAGACTAAAACATAACACGTTTAGTTGCAGACATTTTCGTGAGTTTTAGTCCAATGGCTGATTTGTTCCTAAAAACGGATTTTGCGAATGTACTCGACCATACATTTTAACGCGCAATTTTCAATAAAGCAAGTGCTGTCTGTATTTGCCTAAAGAGCTACTCATTTGAAATGATGTGGCTTTCTCTCTGCTACATATGGTTTCTATTTTCAAGCCACTGATAAGGGTTCTATGTACTAACTTTGAAAATATAATTTATGTTGCGCTAATCTTTGTACTAAGTAATATACTTGTCAAAGTAAATACGTGGATATTTACCTAATTATCGTATACTATGGGAGAATTCATAGTGAACGGGAAATTAATAAAAGAATTAAAATTAACTGCACTCGTGCATTATTCCAGCCTTCACATAAATCGAGTGGTTTATTTGGTGCCTCCTTGTGTCAATGTTTGTGTCTAAGTTAATAAGAAAAACTAAGTTTAATAAGTAAATATAGCACACAGAAAAACTACAATAAAGTATTAACCTTCAGGAGAGATTTTGCAATAGATTATTCTTTATCGGTGAGGGTGACTTGGTCTACGTAGTCTAATTTCTCTGATGATTCATTTCCGCTATTTCGTAGATATGAATTATAAAGTCGAGAAACCCCTATATATATATTTCTGATGGAAATTTATTGAGTGTGTCATTAATTTACGTGCCTTGAGATATTTTCGTCGTATTTACTCCCACTCCAGAAAGCATACATGTTTAGATAGACGATTATTAGATGTATTTAACGTGTCTCAATCACCTCTCTCGACTCTATTTCACATCACCCATCAAGCTGCTGTTTTACGTGGCATTTCTTCTTCTTCTTCTTACTGTTATCGTGAATTAAATATTATATAAGTGCCTTTGTTAAATCTTTCTGTAGATTCCGAAATAATTTGTTAATCTGTGTATACTCAATTATGGGGAATACTCCGACTCACTATAAAAGACGCTTTTCTGGAGACGTTTGTGGCAGACTCCCTAACTCAACACCACCTGGTGTCAGTGTTACTATCCCTCCACCGAAAAAACGAAATACTCATAGTTTGACAGTAAGTAACTTTTCATTGCCCTTTCAATAGGTTGATAACTTGTTTATATTGTGTAAATATTCGTTAGCAATTAGGTTGGTGAGCAAGCTTGAATGATTTTATGTTCTATAGTGAAACAAAATGCTTAGATTATTTATGAGTGGCTTATGATATATAGTCATGTTCATTGTTTACTTTGATGTAAACTTCTGAGCGAAACAAGTATAGAATTAGATTAAATACTTATCAACCATGATACGTAGTTGTGTCGCATTATAAAAGAAATGGTGCTAGCAATGTTAACCATCAAGTCGTTACCAAACAACTAATGTATAGTTAAAAATAAAGATATGAGACTTATCAGTTCATTCTTATATGGCTAATCGAATTTGTATGCTACTAAAGAGCCTCGGACTAAATCTTTGCATGGGATGTTTTTAGTTTCTTTTGGTGATTCTCTTTCGTGATACCATCAGTCTTTTTAGATCCAGCCACTCGTGGACAATTTAGGATCTGGCCTAAATGCATATATATCACATTTGGAAAACCTCATTTCGGAGAAGTGAGAAAACCGAAAAAAATACAAAGAGAAGCAAAAAAGAGCAAGTAATATGAACCACCGTGTAAGGTTAAATACAGAAACACCAGCTTAAAAAAGGACAAATAAAATAGAAAAAACGTGAAGCATTTAATGATACTGAGATTAACCGGCCAGTCACAACTCATGTGCTCTAGCCCGTTTCTATACCAATATTTTCATATAGATATATGCACGGATGCTATTGCAACTGATTTTAAACCGTGTTACCAAATGTCTACGGCTAAATATTATGACTATATCTCCAGTCCTAAACACAGAGTTTAAATCTACGCACACAAACTTCACGAAGCGATGTTATTTCTTCGCTTGGTTGCCATTCATTTTCTCCAAGCCTACTCCCATACTAGTCACTATTACTCATTTCATTGGCAGTGGCTAGATATCGGTAGCACATCTCAATCACGTGAATCGACGAAAGTCTAATGCTTCATCAATCAGCTTATCTTTCCTACCTAATGCCTTAAACCTTACCTCATCACTTACACGATAGCTCCATCATACACAAGCAATACCATAAATACACTTATAATCAATTGATCGCAATCTGTTTATGTCTTCTACGCTCATAGCGGATGCTTTCACTGTCTTGACTTTACGGTACTTACGTTTCCCGAGAAAAATCTGGGTTGTCAATTTTATCCAAAGAAACCAAATGCTAAACACCAAAAACTACACGATCAACTTAGTAAATTATTGGTCATGTTCATTTGGAACTCGTTTAATTGTGCTAATAAATTGGACAACCCACAAGAAGAAAATGCCTAATTAGTCGTTAATTCCTCATTCTGTCGAATAATAGATGTATAATCTAGTATGGTCTCGGTTAAATGAGTTATTGTTTATGGGTTAGGAATAAATCTTAATTTTTTATTGTTTTCTTTTGTTTACCTCTACAAGCATTGTTGCACACTTCAGTTTTAGTTCTAGCTAGTCAACTTTCATGAGTGACTTTAATTGTCCGTCCGCACCCCCCTCCAATCCGTGATTTACGGATGTACGTTTCGTATTGTTTATCATTAACAAGACCAAAGAATTCACCTTTTAATTCCAGTTAATAAGTAATCACTATTCAGTTGTTTGGTTGTTCATTTCTTTAAAGTGACCTGAACAACTTCACTAAAAATAGATTTTTGATGTGACATTTTCTTACAGTCGATTGGATAATCTCTTATATATGTACGTGTATATACATCATGAGTAACCAGTACTTTTATTTCAAAATTTGACCTAATTCAGTTTTACAAAAAAGAGTTGAAATCGATCAAATATATCTGGCTATTTTGTGGTGTCTAATTTAAACTATACACGATAGTATTATTATCATTACCTAATTTCTCTCTTAGGATTTATCACGTTCTGCTCCAGCCGATTATCCTAATAATGAAATGTCAGTAAATGACGACAATGTTAGTCCTAATGACAAAGATGCAATCTCAATTGATGAAGCTACGTCAATGATGCGAGCTACCAGTCTACGTGAACCTATCAATATAATCGATGCTCATGATAATCTTGATGATAATAATCGGTTATACAATGTGCTACCATCTGACAAAATGGTAACGTCAACAATTTCTAGTGGTGATGAGAAAATTTCCAATTTTCTTCAAGAAAGACCATCTAGTGCAGGTCCATTATATTCAACAGATGAACAAATAATGTATAAGCATAGTCAACCACAAATCATTTTAAATAATGTTTCAAGAGATCGTGCAAGAACTTTGCCATCCAGGAAGTTGGTTGGCTTAAAACTTCCTACTGTTTTTCGATGGAATGGTGGTGGTAAAGATATATATATTAGTGGAACTTTTAATAATTGGGAGAAAAGAATCCCTATGGTTAAAAGGTAATTTAATTTGTGAAATAGTACATTTTGTTCTTGTATTATAATAAAAAGGAATGTTATTTTACACCTGTTTTATATCATAATCAAATTTAAGTTCATTTATAATTGTCCTGATTATCCCGTTGTTGATAACTTGACTGGAATTCGGTCAGTTTTAGTTGGTATATGTAAATCCTATGAGAATTGTCTCGATATAGCCAATCGTGACACAAGTTTGTATAGAATAGATAGAATGTGGCTAGCAGTACAATCCTGGAAGCGCGTTTCATTCTATTTGGAGCTCCTCAGCCACATGCATCTGTATTCTATAATTGTTGTTCACTCTAAGACTTGAATCTATTACCTTTAGTTTCAAAAGCTAACCCATTATCCAATTGGCTAATGAGTCCGGTAGCCACTCACTTATGCAACGGGTTTGGATTTTAATCTAATTTGTAATCCTTTGGACTATCGCATTGTTTATATTTTGACTGGAATCTTAGTTGGTATATATTCAGGTACACCCAAATAGGACTAAATGCGCGTCCTCGATTTCATTACTAACCACATTCCATATATTTTATGCAATCAAATATGTTTGAATCCAGCCATTATGCGATTAAATGACAAATGATCAGTAAATTTTATCAGGTCAGATTATTAGGACACTGGATAATCATTCTGTTAGTTTATGATAGCAAATTTCATCAATGTATCAGAAGAAGAGACTGTTCCCAAAAATATTTGTTCGAATTATATGAATCTAACCAATCAATGAAGACCGATCGATACCGTTAAGCCTTAATCGGACAATAGAAAATTTAGTTTCACATCATATAATTAGTTGAATTCGACAAATTTGAAATGTCAGATGGGTTTTGTGGATATTATAGTAATTTGGATGGTTAAGATCATGAGTCAGTTGAAGCTAGACCACCATGGAAAACCTGGAAGCACTGGACGGCCGTTTCGTCCCATTGTGGGACTCCTCAGCAGTGATGCTTGGTAATTTGATTCTTTCCTATTGGAATTCTGATGTTTGCAATACCAGATTAATTAAAGTATCTCCTAGTGTTTAAATAATTTTTCTAGCCTAGTTAACTAAACAATAATTTCAATATGTTGTTATTTTTTGTTACGATACATTGAAATCATCTATCCCTTTAGTGAATATAAGATCTCAAAATGATAATAATGATAATGATGGTAGTAGCGGTAGTAGCAAATTTTCCAATAACTATAAATCATAACATTATAGAGGTTATAATGGTGTCAAGGTTATGAAATGTAAGTATTATGTGTTAAATGATGCTCATATATATTCTATTCTGAATAAATGAGTTTTGATTCATTATTATTTTATTATGAATATAAAGCAATCGGTTATGTGTAACAAATTGAACGGTAAAGTAGTCGAAATAATGTAATGACAATGGTAATAAGAAGGAATAAGTATTGAGAATATGATTGGGAAAGGCGGAATGAAGAGGTATGCATGCTGGGTTACTGGTACACGAGATCTAAAAGAAAATAAAGAGTGAATGCCTCTGTCCCATTATAACTGATTCTGATTCATATTAACTAATATCTTCAATCACTGATGAAAGTCATCGCGTGAATACCAACCAACATTAGCTCAAATCGATAATCATTGACTTCATGAACTGATACCATGTTTTGATTTAGTCACTTCTACATTTTTGTTAACTTACTTCTATACCTGTCAACATAAGATTGATAAATATGTCGGCAGAAATTCTTGATTGAAACATAAATATTTTTTTTAAAACGAAGTATATAGTCTGCGTTTTATTTACCCTTAACATTGTTTACCGCATAATCGCTACTCAACTTACATTAATCAATTCATCCATATTATAAGTAGTCAGTTTGTTGACATTGACTTTTTAAGTATACTAATCAGTTGTTTCTTCTAAAAAAACTATTAATAAGTATCATAGACATTGAAAAGTGATATTAATGGGATTGTTTTTTTTGAAAAGAAGTATTATAATCCATTATTAATTCAAGTACACTAATCTTAACATTTTAACAGTTTAAATACTTATGTTATGCTTTGTAACCGTTCATAATTATAAAATGCTTTGTGTTATGATAAGCTATATATGTATAATTACGTGGGTAAAAGTCAGTTTTTCATATTCATTATTGTGCCACCAAATGCCCTGGTACGGCCGAGAGTGAGGAGAGTTCGCTCTCCCTCTCCAAATGCTCTCACATGGCCACGCGTATATAGCCTCTGCCAGGGAAGTCCTACTCACTGCCTTCTCGCGGCATTACTGTTGTTTACGAAATTGAGAGGACGAAAAGCGAATGTCTGGCACTTCAATCAGGAAGGTGGACACGGAGAGTCCACCTAGGGGAGTTTGAAAACCCTGATTCAAAAGCATTGGTGCACATGGGCTCCAGTACCCTGAGGGAACAAATAGCATATGAACCAATTATTGGTCACCGACCACTATAGGACAGTATCTGCTGACATTGCTTCACTGTCTTGTGGGTCAGACCTTTAGGTCAAAGGCTCGGGGTGTGGCCCCTTAAGAAAACTATCTGTGCCGGTCTGGGCTCACTCACAATCCTGGTGTTATGTGTGACTTATATGTATTCGGTGCCTTCTTCTACTAATATTTGTGTTCAAATTAATAAATAATAAAATGATCCAAATTTACAAATATATAACCTTGGTTCTGAGTAAATAATTGATAAGGTCACAAAATTTGTGGTCGAGTTAGAATGACATATTCGATGCCCGAAAATAGATTGACAATGACAAGAACTGGTACATTTTTCTTGATAATTACGCCTCTGTATTATGATGGTGTGACAACTTGAACTGATGTGTACATTCGACAGGTTTTTTGTTGCGTATGACTGACTATATATAACTAAATTTTCTTCTGTTATTTTGTCCCTTATTCTTATTGTGTTATTTTTCTTAGAAACTCAGGAGTTTACGTAATTATTGATTGTAAACCTGGTATTCATCAATATAAGTATTTCATTGATGGGGCATGGTATCATGACCCAACTAAAGTGAGTGAGTGAATAGTAAGCGAAATATTTTGGTTTTTAATGCTTTTTTGTTGTATAATACATTCTTCGATGAAGTAAAATCACTGTATGAATTTCTGATATTCTTGACTTGAAAGTTCGAAATACGAATCTGTCATGCATTCAATTCAAGAGACTCACAGAATTATTGATTCCACTGATGACGAGCTCACAATTGTTTATAAATACTTGCTCTGTTTTGATGATGGTTGTAGTGGTTCTCGATATTGATATTGATTGTTAGTTGTTTTGAGTCACATATGTTCTTCAGTTGTAGGAATGTTGCCCTTGCTTTGCTAATTCTTGGCTTTAGATTTGCATCGGGTCCTCCATGCTTATCACTGATACTGTCCAGGTACATGAAAGTCTCCACCTCTTCTAGAGCTTCTCCATCAAATGTGATTGGGTTGGCCATGCCGATTACTCCGATTGTTGGTGGAGTGATAGTTATAGGAAGGCCTGTGTGTAGCGCTTCAATGTCCATTGGGTTCAGTGAGGTTAGTTTATTCAAGAGTTCTTCAAAGTGTTCCACCCACCTGTTCCTCTATTCTTGAGTCTGAGTGATTGACTTACCTTCTTTGTCCATGACAGGTCATTCTGGTTTCCCTGTCATTTTCTTCGTTGTGTCATATAGTTGTTACATATTTTCTTATGCAGCAGATTTTTCCACTGTTGTTGCTAGGTTTTCGATGTATTTCTGCTTATCGTCTCTAGTGCTCCTCTCCACTTACTTGTTTGCTTCTGTGTATTTGATCTGTGTCTTGATTTTCTGTTGTCTTGTTTGGCTGTTGTAAATTGCTGTTTTTTGTACTTCCTTACTTGAATTATGTCAATGATTTTGATAGAGATCTATTTCTTACGATGATACTTCTTGCGGTTCAAAACTTGCTGACACGTTGACGTTAGTGCATCTTTGGTTTCTTTACAGTTGTCCTGCATAGTGGTTTCTTCTTCTTTGAGTAGATCTTGTAAAACTTGGAACCTGTTGTTGAGTTTATCAGTATGTCGAAGGAAGGCTGTATTGAACCTATTTAATACTGATTATTCAGTTGTTCAGTGCTCTTTCAGCTTTAGGTTCATTTTGGTAACGACCGGATGGTGACCTGAGGCCATGTCAACTCCTCTCCTGGTTCTCATCTCTTCCATGAATCTTCTGAATATTTTAGTGATGCAAATATGATCAGTTTGGTTCTCTGTAGAGTGATCAGGAGAGACTCATGCAGCTGTGTGTATGTGTCTGTGAAGAAATACAAGGTCACCTATAACCATTTTGTTGAATGCACACACAAGTTTGCGAACCTCTCGTCATCCTTGTTGTTTTCTCCCAGTTGGTGCATGTAGTCCCATGATATCTTCATGTTCGATGTTCTTTATTCCGACTTGGATGTTCAGGTGTCCCATGAGGATGATCAGGTCCTTTCGTGAACACGTGTACATGTACTTTTGTTAGTTTTCGCTCTGGTTGTCAGAAGGGACATCAGCGTCGTGACTTCCAAAGTATCTCGGCTTTCACTGTGAGGCGTCATAATTCTTTTGAATGAAGTTCCTTCAACTTTCAGAGCAGAGTTTAAATGGTGTAAATTACTTTCTTCTGATTCGCGTTTTGTCAGCAAGGTTTCTATCTACGGAATTCGGTTGTTAAACCCACTCCCAACTCTCCTCGTTTACCCAAGCTTGCGACCGTCAGTATCCTTAGAAGAGCCACAAATGGAGTTTACAACTGTTTATGAATATTTCTAAGTCGGATAAACGAAATTTGAAATTGGTGCCAGATAAATAATACCTTTATATGTACCTTTCTATGATGTATATGTTTGAATTTCGATAGTCTATGGGTTGATATATATATAACACAATCCATCGTTCAGTGTTGAATTTTAAAAGCAGTTATAATTTCTACACTACGTTTGTTTGCCCATATATATATATATATATATATATATATATAAGCAGACTAGGATATATAGGTATGATCCTCGATCAATATTCAAATCCACCCACTTGATTTTCTTCCTCACGTACCATGTAGCCTTAAGACAATGTAATCTGTCTAGATTTACAGAAATATGTCTTATTTGAACTAGTTTGGGCTACCAGCAACTCTAAATTTTCGAAGTTTGTGATCAAGTGTTATTACTTCAATTGTTTAAAATATTGACTACATTTTGAGAGTCGGATGTTGTTCCATATGAGACAGGTCGTGGTTGCTGATCTCTCTAGTTTATAATAAGCAACGAAAATTCCCTCATAATGTTAAAAGAATTAGTTTAACCTCTGCAAACTTAGCTTCCATAATCATTAGACGCTCAACGAGAGCCCAAGATCAGTGAACACGAATATAAACAAGACAGACTGGTTGCATGAAACATTTTACTCAGGCCTAATGCCCGACTTCTGAAATCATATTACACTAGCTAGTACAGAACGATTTGGTATAGACTAAAACTAGTCAGACGAAGAAATAAATCACTGATGGTTAGTTTTGACTGTCAGAAGATGCAGATATCTTACCTATCTTCCGAAACATATGACTCAATGTCAATCTCGAACTTATACATTATCACCGTCTTCATTCTCTTAGATATTGGTTTTTAAAATTGTTAATATTCCTGTTCCGATACTTTTTATTTATTAAATCTTTTCTTTTTGTGTTAACTGGAATTACGAGGATTTTGGGTCGATTTATATTTAAGCCAAGTTTGACTCAGTTTAAGACTAAATAACTTCCTGATTAAAATTCCACGAGAGCAACTAACAAGTCGTTTATATCATTTTCTAATTTTGTTAACGTATCATAGAATATCATCTGTCCACTGCTGGACAGATGGTTAGTGACCTAGTCAGTATAGTATAAAATTGAATTCTTTTTTTCGTAACCATTACTAAAAGGTACGTTGAACTAATTCAAAATGTAATTCACTCTCTCTCATATAATATAACTTCAGTTATATTTAAAATACTCTATTCAAATCATGATTATTAGTAGTATGGGTTCGAATTATTCCGTTGTTATAATGTATAACGGAATTTTGACTAGTCTTTGCTAACATATATTCATTCTCACAGATTGAAATCATGAGTCAGTTGAAGCTAAACCACCATTGAAAAACTGGAAGCACTGGACGGCCGTTTCGTCCTAGTATGGGACTCCTCAGCATGGTGGTGGCGCAACTTCGTGGATTGGTTGAAGTTAGACATTAACACCGTCGCATGCCGGCTCAGTGGTCTAATGGTTAAGTGCTCGCGCGCGAATCTGGTAGGTCCCGGGTTCGAATCCCGCGGGGTGCGGGATCGTGGCTGCGCACTACTGAGGAGTCCCATACTAGGACGAAACCCCTTCTGATAATATATTCATTCTATCTATTTTGCTGAATCAAAATAATCCTCACACAATTCACATATATTATCAATTAAAACTAATCAAAATTCAGTTCTAAATATTGACAATAAAATAATTCAAGCTTTTACTACTAGTGTTATTAATCTACCCTGGTAATATTGACTTATTATCCAGAGTGATTAGGTTTCGAATTGTGTTCACATCATTATTATTATTACTCTTAACAATTATCCTTATCTTCTCTTACCCCGTTTCCAGTCTAGTTGACCTTTTATTTTTATATATAAATGCTCTTAACATATATATGTGTGATCAGATTGTTCGAAATGTATTGCGCTAGCATATCACATAGTTCTGATAATCTTTGTCTTCTTATTACATTATCGAAACATTATATCCTTCTTGAACTCAGTAAATTACATGTTGATGTTTGAAGCAGAATCTATTGGATTCTAATCGCATATAAGATGAAACATATATTCCATATTCTATGGTTAACCATAATATATCTATGTCTACAATACTTATATTTATTTGTCAAATAGTACGTGAAGTGAGAAAACATCACATGTTAAAGGAAATTAAAATTGAAGAATGCACATGATTGTGACATTACAAACAGTGATATAGTTACATGAATATATTATACAATATATAATCTTAATCATTTCTTATTACAATATAAAGAAAAAGATTGTTGTAAATATGAGAATGTTCAAAGTATATAGTTCAATACAACAAATATTATTGTTTTACTAAGTAATGACTTCAACACAAAGCCGTCTACTCCACTTGTTTAATGATAATAAAAATGCAAACGTTTTAATCCCTTTTATTACAGAAATTCTATTCAGTTTTTTTCCTTCTATGCTCAAAATATAATCAAAGTTTAGATGGTGGTTGGAGGTAGTCAACAGGAAACCCTGGACCCGGGTTTCGTGCTAATTGGCACTCGTCTGCAAGGTGTACCTGTAATCTTGAGGGAACTGGTGCTCCCTGGCGGATTCGATCTTGTGTCACCTAGCTTCACAGTTAGAGACGTTACCGCTATATATATATATATATATATATATATATATATATATATATATATCCTTTATGTGTGCTAAAACAAGTAGCACGCAACCCGGGTCCAGGGTTTCCTGTTGACTACATCCAACCACCATCTAAATCTGAATACATAGTGCCCGCAGTGTCGAGTCACCTAGACTGGTGGCCACATTGCAACATGATCGATAGCGTTCGATCTGCACTAATAAGGACTAGACAAGCATGACATTGATCACCACCCAGTGATCAATCAATTGTGATATAATCAAAGTATTATGTAAATAAATGATGAATAATAAAACAACATGATAGAAATAAATAAAACCATCTGTGTTCTACTCCTTTTATTGAATTCAATTTCAAATTTCGACCTGTAAGACAAGCCTTTATATTGACACTTCCTCTAGTTACTATGTATAGGCTATTGGTTTTTGAAAATAAAAATCATACAAACCTATTTGTTTATTTGTTTTTCTCTCCTTTTATTCAATAAAAAAAACTGATATCGTTCATCGTTTGATGATTATTGTGAACTTTATCAATCTTAATTGTTTCTCTCCCTCCTCACAAATGATTCTTATTTTACTATCTTTTTTTTTCTATTTTTCCAACAGCCAACTGTAGAAAATGAATATGGTACGAAGAATAATGTTGTTCAAGTCAGATCATCAGATTTTGATGTTCTACACGCGTTAGAACATGATCAAGCCAGTAGTCGAAGACGTTCAAATAGTTCAGAATCTAGCGAAGTATGTTTTTATTTTATTTTAAAAAATTGTATGTTTTTTGTTTTGTAAAGCACATTAAATGTTGAATATGTGTTTAAGTGTAAATGAATCATATATATTTCGCCTCTGTCACCAAGACATTGTATTCATGAGTGAATTCGTTTTTGAACAAACTTGTACGCACAATAGACAAATCTAATCCGCAATGGTCTTGTGAATAAAGCTCTCAGTTGATTCAACTGGAAAGGAAATTTTGAATATAAAGGTAACTATATAGTGATTATGTTATAGTTTATTTATGTATGTTTCCAATATACATAGAAAGTTGATTAACTGGACTAATAAAATTCTAGCGAAATTTTTGAGTTTAATATCTTTAGTCATAAAAACTTATGCTTAGTTTACCTTCCTTTGTTAAGCTTACCTAAATCACTGACTTCACAATACTCACAATTCAAGTGAGACAACCTAAATTCTCTAAGCTTTTATGCTATCTAACATCTAAGTCTTTGTTTCAGAAAATACTAATCTGTGTTCCGACCTTAATAGACAAGCTGATCATTTGATATTCACAATCATTATCCCATAATCACAAATCCCAATAACTAAGAACATGTTCATGTTTAACCATCTTTTCTATATGAAATCTAATTCAATACTATCCGGATCACAAACCGAAATAGGCTAAGGAGAACTTGAAACTGATAGCTATTAATCTCGCAATCACTACTCTGACGGTTATCTCAAAGAGAAAACCTATCTACACAAAGAATACATTACTTATATTTGAACCTTGTGTTGGACATAAGAACCTCAGTGCGTCTTACTAAAGATCATCATCATGCGAAACTTTTTCGCTACGTATTGTGATTAATTCATGATAGACTTTTCTTACACAATGACAGAGGGTTGGCTCACTGGTTAAGACATTTAACATTTAACATCACAGATTCGAACCTACTTCGGTTTGGGCAACTAAGTGGTATCACTTGCCCTTACACTTAAAGTATAGCTCGAAGTCAAGTATACTAACATGTACTGATTGAGTTGGACCAATAGATAAATCTCTAGTACAATTCAGTTGTGTAAAATGTGTAGAAAACACTGTTGCTAGTCGGTTTTGTATACATTAGATGTATATTGAACCGCCTCCAAGTTATTTGTTAAGCATTTTTCAATGGTTGAAATCATGAGTCAATTGAAGCTAGACCACCATGGAAAACCTGGAAGCACTGGACGGCCGTTTCATCCTAGTATAGGACTCCTCAGCAGTACGCATCCACGATCCTACCCCCGCGAGATTCGAATCCGGGACGTATCATCAATACAAATTGGTAATGAATTGGATTAGTTACAGGACAATTGTACCGTATGATTCAAGCATACCAGCAAAACAAGAGCATGTAACATTCTCTTCCTTAGCTGTTTGTATCCTTCACATCGATTTTCTTTGTGAGAGGCAGGCGTTGAGCTTTTATGCATCATAAGTAATTTATGAGTTTATACATACAAAAAGGTTTCTTTTTTCTCTCTCTAAACATATTTTAGTTTTAACTTCGGGTTTTCTAATCCTTTATTTGTTTTGTGTTACTATTGGTATTGAAATTGTTTTGTTGCACACTGGATTCAGTATAACTTATTTTAGGATACATAATTTCAAAGTTGCCATTTGTTATGTTATTTTTATTCTACTTTTTGGCTGTTAAACATTGCCTTCGAAAACAGAGGATATTCATGCCGTATATGTTCCTTATCATAGATCCTTTTTAAGCACATTAGTCGTGTATGTTGGGACTAATGCTAAGTCTAAACTCAAATGATAAAGTGGTTGATGAAGTAGTGAATCTTCTGCTGAGGTAATTGAGACGTGTACTCCGTATGATCAACCGTTCCCTACCTCGACAGATATTGTTTGGTTTAGGAATGAAGTGGAAGAAAGCTAGGATTAGCCAAACTAAGAATCAGTGTCAGTCCATGAAGTTATTAACTTGTAGACTGAGCCGTTTAGGCAGATACAGACTATCTGATCGAAGTCTATGCGATGCTCGTAACCAGTGTTTGAAAATATTGTGTGATATGGCTCAGAATCCGTAGCAACTACGTTAATGCGATCCTTCTTTTTCTCTACTTAGAATTTATACTTCTCCATCCCACGAATTCGTCCTTTATTCTATACTTAATGTTTTCTATTACCACCGATACTGTTACTAGTTGTAGAATTCTGGTATCTGTCTTTATAATTTCATTTCGCTGTGTAAATTCTGTGTGGAAAGTTTTTAAGACCTGCCGTACTATTCATGCTCTTCTTTAATGTCGCTGATTAATTGGAGGATTCATAACCAATGTTAGTACCTTTTTTAAGTTTCTAAAAAATCAAGAGCACCTGTAGATCAATAAATATTCTTTAGTCTATACATGAACTAACTTAAACAGTAAAATTCCTCTCATGTTTCCACCTTATAATTTCGTTTTTCTTTCTCAGTAGGAGAATCTAAGTTTTAGGAGTCTAGAAACAGTCCAGTGATTCAGTGTACTAAATTTTTATTTGATAATAACTGTTAGTTTGGATATTTTATGTTTATCGAGTTATATTCCCAGGAAAGAGAATTTATTAATATTCCACTTGTGTACATTTCCAGGTTTCATTTATCAGTTAACCTTTATTATGTGGAATAAATTGTTTAAGTACAGTTCTATTGGTTAATATTTTGTGATATGGAAAATTTATTATTCATATTCATAGTTATAAAGCTTAGTAATATCCATACAGTGAAATAATTCATATCTCTCATTATCCTAAGAGAATTTACACATCAGTATACTCACCATTGTACAGTCTTATCTCCAAAAGTTTATATATTGGTGTATGAACGAAAAAACCCCATAAGTCATCGGTTCAAATCCTATTACATAATGTGTTCACACTAAACTTTACCCATAATTTTCCTACAAATTACAATGTGTATTATATTATTATTTGCATGCTATACTATTATATATCTTACTGAAGTGATCCAAACTTATTTCAAGCCATTACTTTCTTGTTGATTTATAGGCTGGCAAGATTATATTTTCAAATAAGACTATTAGTTATTAGAAATTAAACAATAATACTTTATCCTAAACTACATTTTGAGAATGCACTTCAGTTCACTCTTTTTTGTTCGAACAATCTTTAAAAAAATTTATGAAATCATGTTACACAAGTCGATCTCTAAAGTATATTGGTAAAGATTAAAGTAACTGATATACTGAATACTATTAAACACTTTATTATATTAACCTGATTTTTTAGTAAATGTTAAACCAGATATTACTATCATATTCGAAATAAAACGTTTGTATACAAAGGTATGTTTAAACAGTTGAGATCATGAATCAATTGAAGCTAGACCACCATGGAAAACCTGGAAGCACTAGACGGCCGTTTCATCCTATTGTGGGACTCCTCAGCAGTTGAAGTTAGACGTTAGCACCGTTGAATGCCGGGTCAGTGGTCTAGTTGGTTAAACGCCTGGCGCGAGACTGGTAGGTCCTAGGTTCGAATCCCGCGAGGCGGGGTCGTGGATGCGCACTGCTGAGGAGTCCCACAATTGGACGAAACGGCCGTCCAGTACTTTCAGGTTTTCCATGGTGGTCTAGCTTCAATTGACTTATGATCTCAACTGTTTAAATTACTACAATCTCCACAAAACGCCTTTTGATACAAATGTATGTATTATTTTCAATGTATCATCAGTTTGATCGTTTAACCAATTGACATTCAATCACTGAGTCACAATTTTAAATTGTGTTTTATTGAGTAATACCACTGTCGATGACATTGAAATGTATGGCTCAAAGCCTATTACATGAAATTGCACTTGGTAAATGAATTACTTCAATAAATTTAAAAGTGCTAAGTATTTAATGCCATATATCATGTATTATCAGGATTTGTTTGAATAGCATCACGAGTGCTAAGCAACCAAGCCAAAAAGACATTTAGAATAAGTTATTTACGTTTACAAATAACCACAATATTTAACCTGATGGTCTTATTTAAATTTTTCTCAAATTAGTAGAAAATACAATTTGATGTGTTTCATATTGTAGCGTATAGTCCAAGACATTTCAAACACTATATCTGGGATTTTCATCATTCATATCCTATTTATACTTCCAAATTTTATCAATAAGGATTAATAAAATAATGATTTACACAACTGAACTTTCAATAATTTGCTTCATTTGTATATTTCCGCTGGAGTAATATAAAATTGAAATGCGGATACACACATATACTTCATTTCTGTTGACATGATCAGACAAGTTTTAAGTCAAAAAACCTATTCACATTTCAAGATGTTTTTTTAGAATACAGTCTAAAAATTAATCTAATCTGTATAAAACTCCCTCAACCAAACTATCACACTGAAATCATGAACCGACTGACATTGAGAACCGGGGATCTTTAAACGGCCATTTCTTCCTAATAAAACCCAACAATCTTCACAACCCTATACCGATAACTATCATGTGTTCACTAGTGACTAGCTTCGAGAGGGAAGCTATGACCAGTACAGTTCAACCGTATTGGGTGGAAGATGATTGCTCAATGTCGTAAATTGGTTGAAGTTAGAATTTAACATCGTCAGATTCCGATTCAGTGATCTAGAGGTGTTAAGCGTTGGTGCACGAGACCGAAGACCTTGGGCTCGATTCTCGCGTGCGGGCTCGTGGATGAGGATTGTTGAGCAATCCTATAGTAGGTCGAAGGGATCGTCCAGCACTTCTAGGTGTTCGGTGGTGGTCCAACATTGATCAGTTCATGATTTCAATGAAACTCAACAACTACATGCTGATAAACCATAGTAGTCAGTTCATATGTGACTTACCTCAAAATTTTCCTAAAGTTTTCATGACAATTTTTGACTGGCAACATTCAAATATGTTAAGAGTGACGCGGTTTTCACCAATGACATTGAGTATTCATCATACTATATTCCAAACTAATTAAAGTTTAAATTCTATAATTGAAC